CCACAAAATTTATCTTTCAACTCTGTTTTTTTCTTCACCAAAATAATATTCTATTAAGAGCTCCCTATTTCTAATTTTGAGAGCGCCCTGGGCACTTATTACGTCGAATACGGTACTTGTTCAAGGGAGCCCTTAGATATGTACTCATGTGCCCATAGGCAACATGTTGGCAGTAGTAATGTGTCATTTACAAAAACAATGTGTCAACTGCTTGATTGAACACTGCAGAAGAAACCTTCAAAGTGAGGCTTTTCTGTCCTTCAGACATCTGTGTTGTAGATTCTAGTCCTCTGCACTAATGATGTTTATGAATTAGGTAAAAATAGAAAACCAATCACACAACAGTCCCAAAAGACCAATTACTGATACACTCACCAAACTGACCGCCTCCGTGGTCTAGCGTTAGAGCGTCCACCCAGAGAGTGGTAGGTCCGCGGTTCGATCCCCGGCCGTGTTATACCCAAAGACGTTAAAAGATGGTACTTGTTGGCGCTCGGCATTAAGGGCTAAAACAAGGACTGGTCACTGGTCGGCTGGGAGTCAGTATACTGTGTCTGAGTGGCATTCATGTTAAACTGCGGCATGGTATCTCAGTGAGCTAGCACTGTAAATCGGCATCAGTCCGGACTAGTACAAGCAGCCACACAGCCACACACACACACACACACTCACCTCACCTCACCAAGCCTCACCAAGCCTCACCAAGCCTCACCAAGCCATGTCATGTCATGTCATGTGCTGCCCCAACACTAGAATGTTGGCTGCCTCTGTGGTGTAGTTGATAGAGCATCTGCCTGTGTAGTGGAGGGTTGGTTCAATCCCCATCCACGTCGTACCATCTGACGTTTAAGGATGGCACTTGTTGTTACCCTGCATGGCGCTGGTTGGTTAGGAGTCTGTATGATGTGCCTGAGTGGGATATTTATTTTTATAACTGAGGCATGGTGTCTGAGTGGGCTATCACTATCAAACCTGGCTGGCAATACATTAGTCTGGACTAGTACAAGTAACGATGCTCATGATGTCAATTACTGGATTGTCTGGTCCAGACTTGATTATTTACAGGCAACCGCCATAAAGCTGGAATATTGCTGAGTGCGGCGTTTAACTAGAAACAAACAAACAATGTAAGTGCAATAATCTAAACCCAACGTTAAGCCCCTTTTCACCTCATCTCACCTGTACTGGAACTAATATTCCTACACACAGAGATTTATCAGTCCAGCCTCCACCCAATCCCTCCAGTGACATGTCCAGCTGTACGACCAGCCCATTGACTCCTAAGGACAGTCACGGGGGAACTTGTAAGCTAATTTCCATGCTTCTCCAAATGAGAAAGAAAGAAATCAATCTCCTTCGCATGGCTTCCAATCCAAATTAGTCCTAGCTAGGGTGAGATGACTGTCTTCTTCCAGTGTTGCAGATGCTAAGCTCAATCCTGGTTAGTCCAGGGGATGCCTAGGGAAATTAATTTGACCATACTTTCACAGCTCTAGTTTGCATCCTCTGCTGCCCTTGAAAAAAGTAAATTAATCTAAGGGAGGTAATTCTGATTTAGTGCCTGATAAGTTGATCGTGACATTTTGAGCAGTAGTTTCCTCAAGACTGATTTCAAGTGGGTTTCTAACCATGTACTGTTTGTAGATTGCTGGAAGGGGAACTTGAATCATTTGAGAACCTGCTGTTTTTGTGCTTGAGTGACATTTCCAAATGTAACAAGGAGAGAATTCTTCATCTGTAAACATCTAGCCTGTCAACAGGAAAGACAAGCATGTTTTCATCATCATTTTTATCTGTTAGTCAGTTGATGAGGTTAAGAGGATTCTGAAATGTTGTTTTGACAAGTCAAAATGAACATTGTAGTTTTCTTTGGCAGTATGTGGTGATTAATATGTAATAATTTGATTTAACAGCGTTAGAAATTGGCACTAGTCCTGTAGTCCTTGCAAAACTGCCCAATAATTAAGGTATCATAAGGACTAGTGGAAATTTGCCATTTATAAGGGTTTTGCTGTATATGTTATCATTATAAGGACTAGTGGACCAAAAAGTTAGTTTCTACCACTGTTTAAATAAATAATGTTGGTAATATTATGTATTATGTTCATCTTTGGTCGCCTGATCGCCAAGTTCCATCACTTAGGCATGCGAGACTCCAATGTTCATAGGTTCAAATCTCTGATTATGATCTTGTTTGTCAGCTCCATACCCGTGCTTGTCAGTTAACATCTAAAACCTACATCACTTTCCATGTTAAGTTGACATGCAGTGATATGATTGAAATAAAACGGCTTAATGCCCAACTCATTCAAACGTCTACTCCGTGGGGATTCTCGGTGAGAATATAGGTCCCCAGCAACCTATGCTAGTCGTCAGAGGCGACCAAATGCATGGGTGGTCCGGCTTGATGACATGCTTGATATCTTGTCTTCATACCCTAAGTCGGCTCCCATTTCTATCACTGGATTATCTGGTCCTGACTCGATTATTGACAAGGCGTGAAGCCAATGTCATATAAGTGGAATATTACCCTCAGTGGTATGAAACCATACGCACTCATATTAAGCAGTCTTTGACTTTTGCCGCCAAAGTCTGACTAAACAAGCTTTTCCTTCTTCCTAGCTTAGCTAATAATAGGATATAGTTAAACTGATATGTCTACTAAAAATGATACCAAAGAAAACTTGTTTACGCAAATATGTTTGCCAGATGGGGTGTCCTATCTACAGGTTTGTAATACTACCGTGAAACTTTTGTTTTTTGTATGAAATACTGGCCACTTGAAACTGGGACATCAACAGATCCTAGATCTTTATCGGAAAGCCACTTAATTCAGGTCATTAACAAACGTAATATACACATCTGCCTGCTATTTCCGAATCAGTATCGACATAAAGAGTACAGGGTGTCAACTGTATGATTTGAGTTGTGTCATCTGTCAGTAATGGCTTCTAGCCTTCCCAAACACCAGGATAAGCATCTCTTGGTCATGGTTGGCTGGACATCACATACAGGACTTTCTGCCTCTGATTGTTGTGGCTGGTTGTGTTGACGAGAGGGCAAGGTGTAGCTGGTGCTTGATGACGCTCTCGCTGTTGCACTTTAGCTGTGGATTGAGTTTGTTTGCACACACTGCATGCATTGGCAACTCGCTCTGCATACGAATGCAGAGAAAGCATAGAACAGCTCTTGGCGTTGTCACACTTGGCTTGTGTTGGAGGTATTATTACAGTGTGAACTTAAATATGAGCACAACTTTTGTTTATGGTCGACGAATGAATAACAAGGTGCTTAAACACCTGGCTAATTTCATTTTAATTCCGTACCATATTAGTTTGTGGTGCATCGCTTGGGTAAATTGCAATGAGCTGATAGAGATGTTCAGTGTTGTATTTCTAGAAGGGTTTATTTGCTTTTTTCAGAAGCTTAATTTTAATCTCCAGGTCTCATTTCTTGTTGCACAGTTAAGGATGCCATCATTTTATGATATCCAATACTTTCAAAACCTAAGTACTGTATATGCTACAGACGGAATGTTTGAGCAATAAATAATCTTAAGTTGAAACCACCTTTCACTGTCAGCAGGGTTAAAAATTAAGTAGTCTTAAAAAATTGTATGCTGCACAGATAACGTCTACTAAATGGTCAAAGTGGTAGTCCACAAGGAAATGTCACAACCCTTCCTGAATATCTCCGACTTACAGACTTATGTTAATTTCGAGCCCTGGCCGTGGAGTGGTGTACGCCTTGAGTGATTATTATTTCTGCATTTAATTGCCATGGGTGATGAGTAATATACTAGTACCTGCCTTAACTCTGAAGCAACATACTGAATGAAAATCTTGGCTGTTGATTTTGCTGTTATCTTTTTAAAGAACTGTTCAGGATGAACTAACCTACCAGGCTAACCAGTATTATATAGTGTAATTGCTGCTGCAGTATAAATTATAATTGTGTTTTAAAATACCCAGTACTATGATGATTGTAAAAATGTCATCAACAGTCGTCACGCCCTGTGTCGAGTGACATCAGCATATCCAGTGCACAGGGAAGTTTAACGATATCTCTGTTGTAGATCAGTGTCAGTGTCGCCTCAGAAAGGAATATTTATGGTAATTGTCCTGTACGTCACTTACATTGGGTTAAATACCTATTTGGTCGAAGCAGGTGGCTCCAACAGATACCAGAGGTGTTCCGATTATCGACTTTTTGCTGCATTGTCATACAGACCCTGAAACAGATATACCGTATCCTATAGCCCATGCAAATCTATGATGTTTGAAGATCCGGGTTAGAATTGGCCTTCAGCAACCATTGGCGTAAGAGGCAATTAACGGGATTGGATCGTCAGGCTCGCTGACTTGGTTGATGCATGTTGTATCCTAAATGCGTAAATCGAAGCTCATGATGTCAATCATTGGATTGTCTGGTCCAGACTTGAATATTTGCAGACCGTCGTAATATAAGTGGCATATTGCTGAGTGGCATTAAACAACAAACAAACAAACAAACCTTACTACAGAGATAACATACAGGTTACACAAAGGTGATAGTTTGGGTGTGTTTGCTAACCCTGTTGATAGTGCTTAGAATTCCTTACATTGAAGTGCTGATGGGCCAAGTTCAAAGTGGAATGGCACTGTTAAAATAAGATGCACATGCTCATCATGCTAAGGATCCATTTAGAAATTATATTTTGTAAAATAGCAATACCCTGTGAAGATTTTTATGATGTGAAGCCAGTGATAAATGAATTATTACTGTTAAACTGGACAAACACATGATAATCATGTGAACATGCTTAATGAACAGAATTTCAAATACATGTTTGTGTTTTCACTCAAAAGTATCATTTTTGCATATCTACATCTCAAAGGGCACACTTAAATGTCCTTGAGTGCTCTGTGGTATGCTTGAGAAGAACAACATTTCTTTTATCGGTGTCATTTGTTTGGAGTGTACATCAGTTGTGAATCTAACGCTTGCCCTCTGTGTTGCAGGACAAACGACACCAACCAGACGCTCTGGACAAAGGTCACCTGCAACGATGCCTTGACTCACTGCAGAGAGCTATCAAAGGTAGGCATCATGACAGATCATTGTGTAATGAAGGAATCATGAGAATCTGTTGATCCTGGAAGAAGAGTCCATGTCATGATTTATATGGTATTTTTCTATAATTTTGTGTAATGACCTATAGTAGGGTCAGTTTTACTTATTAAAATGCATGTTCAAAACAGCCAGCCAATTCCTGATTCAGAAGCAACTGCATCAACAATAGCCTGATGTAATCATAAAACTTGAATATTTGCTGAACTTGCGACTATTTTGATAATGTGTTCTATTGATTGAAGCTTATGAACTCCTTCCTAAATCTGGTGTCAGTTGTGAATGTTTCTTACCTGTCTGTAATTCTCTTAAAACTTGAATATTTGCTAAACTTGCGACTATATTGATAATGTGTTATTTTGATTGAATCTTATGAACTCCTTCATAAATCTGGAGTCAGTTGTGTAAGGTTCTTACCTATCTGTACATCTGTCTATGGTGTTAATAGTCATTGCAGAAGTATTGCATGATCTGTCAAGTGACAGCCCGAAGTATTTTGTATCTTACATGGGTTCTTTGGTACGTGGGGCAGTGCATCTTCCCAAAGCAAAGTTAACTGTCTATTAAAGTTTAGTTTCCATCCTTGCAGAACAAAGCTGGAGTTTGTGACATATTTCTGGTTGGACTAATGAGTCCTGTAAAAATTTGTGGAATGAAATCAACAGATTTCGGTCGATTGCAGGATTTGGGAAGTATGTGTAGGGTCAACTGGCCATCGACAAATATTTTCCAAAATATTTTCTTGTTTTCAATCGATTTTCTCAAGTGTTTTGATGCACTTCTTGAAGACCCGTTTTATTATTAATAAAGATCTTGATTTTTTCATAAGATCATCTTGACTGTGTGCAGTCTTTTTGTTTGAAGCCAATTCAAGTGATATGCGAGGTAGAATCTGATTGGCCAGTAGGAGCGACATAGAAGGAACATAAGTCGTAATCACCACTAGTGTGTCTACCATTAAGCCACAAAATTCCAGACCAGTTCAACAGGGGTGGAACCAAGTCTTTTAAAGTCCCATGCCTTGGGGATATAGCGACGGTGGCGTAGCCTAGCTATGTATGCATTTTCATCATGTCGAAGGTTGTGAATAATAAAAGCGACCTTAAACCATACATACTTGCTCCCTGGTATATACTAGCAGGGATAGACCTGAAGACAGAGAGGCTTGGTGTTCACTTGAATATTCATGGCTGTTATGGCTTCTGGATAAAATGGTGAGCCAGGTTTCAGAAATATAGAGCCAGGGAACCCATGTTTCTCAGACATGAAATGGGGCGTCTTGTGTTCTGGGGTCAGTGCACCATGGGCCCTGATAATCTGAAGCACTGAGTGAGAATTTTTGAAAACTCCTTTGGTTCAACTGAATATGTGCAGATTCGTATTTACCATATTTATCCTATCAAGGGCCTAGCTCCAATCAGTGCCCCCTCTCCAACTTCCAGACCAATCTGTAAGTGATCTTTATAAGTGCCACGTATGAGACTGAAGATTTGCATGACAGTCCATATTTCTTGTGTATATTAAACTATTTTCACAGAAAACAGCTGTGCAGAATGGCGGAATAATTGCCTTTTAACTAAACTATTATAAAAAATTTCAACTGGTCGATCTCTTTTTGTTCATTTGTTTGTTTGTTGTCTAACGCCGCACTCAGCAATATTCCAGCTATATGATGGTGGTCTGTAAATAATCTGGACCAGACAGTCCAGTGATTGACATCATGAGCATCGATCCATGCAGTAGGGACCGATGACATGCATCAACCAAGTCAGCCAGCCTGACCGCCTGATCCCCTTAGTCTCTGAAAAATTTATCTTGTGTATAGTTTTAAGAAGCACCCCGGTAAATTTTGTAAGTGTCCAAGGCGATTATTACGCTGAATACGGTAGAATGTATTTGGGTCAATAAGTTGTCCTCCAATCTTGAACAAGGGCATCCATCCATGGGTAATAAATGTTGTAAATTTCTTTGGCACTGTGACGTAAACAAGAGGAAAATATGCAAAGCTGACCATCAACACATGCGTTGAGTAATATCTGTCTCTCAGATGATATTCCAATGACAAAAATGAAAGAGGGGTCTGCTGGTATTTGAGTCGAGGAACCACTTAAATCCTAAGATTTTGACATTTATGGCTGTGACTAGGACCGCTTGACTTTGATGCTAAATTTAGAGCACAGTATTGGGTCAGATCTTACTAACTGATGCTATACTGTGTATTCTGCTGCTCCACATTACAGCAGTAGGTCAGTGGGGCACAATTGTGTCATGTTAGGTATAGATTATGATGACAACAGCTAGCCTCATAGAGAATGTATACAGTGGCAGTCATTATTGATATTTACTGTATGTGAATAGGCTTGCGGTATGGTGTTGTGGGTAAGCAAATAGAGCCATCTGTGAACAAATCAATAAAAGAAGAGGTGTAATTAATATAGACGCTTTGGTCTGGAAATTGTTCATTATTTCCAGTCTCATGATAAAATATGATAAGTATATTTCTCTGTGTCATGATACCCATAGCTGATTGTCTATGATGTTTATGATTGGGGGAAGGGGTGGGGGACCTCGAACTTTCATCCTATGGCACCGTATAAAAGTTGAATTTATGGCCCATACTTGCCTATAATGTTCCATATATTGTGTAAACATGGGGCCAAAGGCCCATAAAAAACTTTCATTCCCACTCACTGTATTATAGTGAAAATACAACAAATATTCCCACCCCTTCTAAACAACTATATATATTTTTTTAGGAAATATGGTATTTGAAACGAGGGACCCCTAAATGTTATGGTTACGACAAAAACTCCTTAACTTCCATGTATAATTTTGAACAAGGTAAATTCCTAGGGTTACCAGGATTTTTGGCTTTTAGGATCTGTTTAAGGTTTATAGTTGCATCCCTGATGCTGGTGCCCCGGAGCGTCTCTTCCCTCACCTGTTTCACCTTGTGTGTGTGTTGTTTCAGTTATCAGCCAGCAGTCTCTGATTGAGAGGCTGGAGACAATAGCCAGACAGCTCAGCTTGAGTTCCAGCATCCAGCCTGGTCCAGAGCAGCACCTCATCATCTCCTCAGATATGTTCCATGTCCAGATCATCTTTGACAAGGGCGGAGGGGTCAAAGATGTCAAGGTCGCCCACGGAGGAGAAGCAAATGTAAGTTTCTGTTGTCATCGTACAGACCCTGTAGGGGCGGGCCTCAGTTAGAAAAAGGTCCCCAGCACCGGTGGCTTGTTGTTAGAGGCGACAAATGGATTGAGTGATCAGCTTCGGTTTATTCCAGGGCCCACTTGCACAAAGCGATCTTAGCGCTAAGATCATCGTAACTCCCATACTTTAACATAGGCTTACAATAATTGTAGTGCTAAGATCGCTTTGTGCAAGTGGGCCCAGATCGTCCTACTTGACGTCCACTGGCTTGTCCATTATTTGCAGGCTGACATAATGTAGCTGTAATGTTGTTGAATGCCACATAGAGTTGCAGTGATAGAACTGAAAAATATTTAAACAGGCACAAAACCCAACTCACTCACTTTGCTGTATACTTAAGTTCTCATGTTGTTTTTTTCTCCCTGTTTGTTTTCCAAGGTGAGGCTCTTGCCCGTTTGGGTGGTCGGGTAGCCTAGTGGTTAAGCGTTCACTCGTCACGCCGAAGACCCGGTTTCGATTTCTGACATGGTTACAATGTGTGAAGCCCATTTCAGGTGTCCCCCGCCATGATATTGCTTGATTATTGCTAAAAGCGGCGTAAAACCATACTCACTCACTCACTTGCCTGTTCACCTGAAACGATCTAGCTAGCATTAAACATATCCTTTGTGGACATAGAAATGTCGTATTGCTAAAACTTTTTCTCTCTTAAAAGTCATGTGCATGCTGGCTTGAGACAATCATGTGCATGTGTAAAAAAATAACCGACAATAGCGATCAGCTGCTCTGAAGTGCTACGCTTTGGGTTATTATTATATTAAATATTTTTAGTAACAGCTGCAACTAAAATAACATGATATTGGAATATATTATTCCTGATAAAGAAATTGTTTCAGATACAATTTTTCCCGACCCTTCCATCAAAATACTTAAAGTTATATCATTGGGTAAGTTGTAACCGAATCACCGGTAGATTCCAAGGAAAACGTGTGTACAGCTGATTGCTGTTTCAGGCTTAGTTTACGAGAAAATACATGTGGTAAAATTAATCCCTACATGTAAAAACAATGCCTTGCAGAACAAAAATAAAATACAAAGTAAATCAACATGTCTAATGATTTTTATCTCAAATTTCAAATTTGTACTGAACAAGTTTCTTTTCACACGAGGGGTGATCGGGTAGCCTAGTGGTTAAAGCGTTCGCTCGTCAGGCCGAAGACATTGGGATATTGCTAAAAGCAGTGTAAAACTGTACTCACTCACTCTATTCACCCGTTTGATTACAGGAATTTGCTGAAGTTGTTCAGTGTAATTTTTCTCTGCACATAATATTCAAAAAAAATGTTTTCCAAAATACTGAATCCGCTAGAGGGGGGTGCGCATTATACTCAAGAAAATATCAGGGTTAGAAATTGGCACTAGTCCTATAGTCCTTGCCAAACTGCCCAATGGTAAAGGTATCACAAGGACTAGTAGAAAATTGCCATTTTTAAGGGTTTTGACATATGTTATCATAATAAGGACTAGTGGACGAAAACTGTTAGTTTCTAAAGCTGAATATGGTACATAGGCTGAATAGCCATTTATAAGTAAGTGATCACATGTGGTATTCCAGACACAAGTCAATTACATGGTGAAGTACTGGTATATTCTTCAAGCTTCTCTGGTCCACTGATGATAAAAGTCTAAGGCAGAGCGAACTTTACAATCAAATTAAGCTTCTTGTTTAATGATGTAGCAGTCTGCAGGGAACAGCATTGTCAACTGACCTAAAAGACTTTTGCTCACTTCGAAGTAACGTCAGGTTACTATGACAACAAGAAAATTGAAATTGTATGGCTGAATGAAGATTTCTTGTTTTAATGTGGGCGTTGTACATGAATCCCTCCAGAAAGGGGACATGACCTCATGGCCTCGGGGTCTAGCAACATTGGCGATTAGTGGGTGTTTTTGTCAACGAGATCACAGGTGACAGCTTAGGTCATCAGTCACAGGCCCTATCTGATTTATAGTCTCTGATGACAAGAAAGAAGTTGATATTTTCCTATTCTCAAGGATGTCGTGGAATGTCATGGAATATGCCTAGGAGGCAGAGGTTTGGATAGGGAGGATTCACCCCTCTTGGATTATTAGATTACCACTCGAAGTCTCCATGGAACGGGAGCATATTTATAAATGGCTCCTCATTGTTCAATTATAGTAATAACTTGGTTAGAGATTTTGAATAGGTACTGCGTGCATAGGCTGTCATGGAAATACTTTTGTGCTTTAAACATGCAACCCAGTTGTTCACAGTTAGTTTTTGTAAAATGGAGTAGAGAATAGTAACCCTTCAAAGCCAAAGCTCAAATCTGTTTAGTTGGGTAGTGGATTTATGGGTGTTTGAGTATGCTTATTTTAAGATGAATTGCTTGAAAGATTATTTTGATTCCAAGGTATTAATCTACATGTATTATATTAGATACGGTTGGATTAACAGGTTTTGTTTCTGTTGAGTCAATTTGGTTGTCATTTTCAGTGGATATTCTGCAGCAAAGTTGGAAATTCTCTGAAATCTTTGAAAGTATCAAAGATACATATTTTGGTTAAATATAGACAGATGTCTAGTTTGGAATTTGTGTTATCTCGGTTTTCTAAATTACGTTACGGTAGTTCCAATCAATTCTGTCTTTAGAAAATTGCCCTCTTTCTACCCTTCTAATAAAAGTGATAATTTGGAGAGATGATCAGAAACAGATAATTAGTTCTGCCAGATCATTCATCTTTCCGAAACCAAGGTATTTAACCAAGCTCATGCAGCCATCATAGCTGCAAAGATCAGACCTTTTTCAAACACCTTATGAATTTCCAGGAGGCAAAATTCCTGTCAAGAAAGAAGAAAAGTGTAGCTGATTGATAAACCTGGAGGTACAAGCATGGTTCTGGTCGATAAAATCAATATCAAAGTATTTTTTACCATTTCATCCAGGCGCCTCCTGGACCATGTATCTGATGAGAATCGAGACACTGAAATGTTTCTGTCTCAATTCTGATTAAATTCAGATAGAAATTCCTGACAAAGGGGGGTGGTATATCTGAAAGTGAGGTTTGGAATATTGATTATTTTCACATGGGCATCGCAAAGCCTTGTCCTTTGTTTATTGTAATTCTTACACTCGGCGTACGTAACTTTATTCCAGGTTGGTAACTGGATTGGGAATGGAAATTGTCTTGAAGCTGGCAGCAGGAATCAATTTTGTCAGCCTTGGTAGAGTTAGGTTTGGAGTCTTATCAAAATTCCATGTGGGTAATTGTTGTTTAGGATGGAAATAGCTTTGACATTTTGCTGGGGACTCTTCTCACTGATCTTGCAAAATCTGAGGAATTAACCATCTTGAAGCAAACTAGTTTTGAAGTTAGTGTCATTGGAGTCTGAAGTTACGGACATTACATTCTGCTGATGCCAAATCCAAAGTCAAAATGTTTACGGAAATGTTGATGTATGACTGACACTGATTCTTTTTTGATAATATCTACAGCCATTGTGTTGGTTATATACACTGAGGATGGGATTGTGGATTTCAACTGCTTTTATTCTTTCACTAACTTTCTGGATAAGGCAGTTTGTGACTTAAGCCACTTGTCCGAGGCAAGTGTCTAGTAACATTCTGTTCTATCTGTAAGGTCAGCTATTAGGAGTTCATATAATAACATTAAGATCTACTTAATATGATGTTGAGCCTTGTTCTGGCTAGTAGTCTCAAAAGTTACTGGCTAGTAGTACTGGTAAATGTGCTTTAAAAGCAGGATTTGACAGCTATGATATGCCATTAGCTCGAGGCTAGTAGATCTTTGTAAGGACTAGTAACAGCAAATGAAATGGTAGCCCAGCTGGCTGGTGTATTTTGCCACAATATTATTGTGGACCCATGAAGATCCGGGGTATAATAGGTCTTCAACAACCCATACGTGCCGTAAAAGGTGACTATGCTTGTCGTAGGAGGCGACTAAAGGGATCGGGTGGTCAGCCTCGCTGACTTGGTTGAAGCATGTCATCAATCCCAATTGCGTAGATCGATGCTCTTGATATCAATCACTGGATTGTCTGGTCCAGACTCTATTATTTACAGACTGCCGTCATATAGCTGGAATATTGCTGAGCGCAGCATAAAACAACAAACCAACCAACCATTATTATTATTATGATTGAGTGACACAACAAAATAAATGTTAATGTTTTAACACAAATGTTATAAATATATTGTAAATAAAACTCTATAACTGTATAACATCATAAAGCATGATCATTTTACAGTAATATCTTGATTCAATAAGCCACTAGACCTTGAGTCAGTGCAATATTAAATATCTAGCTGGCTTACTTTGTGAAAGAATAAAATAATCTTTGAATTGAAGGAATACAAAATTGCTTGATGATTAATTTACAAGTGACTGTACTGTAATATCACAGTAGAAGAACAAGAAAGTATCTATGTTAATCCTGTCTACATTGATATTGATATCTCATCATTGGCACTTGAAAAGATATGCAGCTGCCTACAGTTGATGAATTTTCTTATTTGATTGTGGATGTATGACTACTTTCAAATCATTGCAGATTTCAATCAAGAGAATAGGTTTTACTTAACTTGATTTATTGGAAAGACAATTATCAATATTTAAACATCTGCTTAGGCGATGTCAAGGTGTTGCTATGCACTTGCAAGAGGCACACAGCCAAGTTAATTCCCAGACAGTTTCTGCAGTAGAAGTTAACTTGACCTGCTACAGTGTTTCAAGCTTAGAATTCTTCTTTTTTAATACAGGAATTATGCTCATTGAGAGTAAATGGGGTATTTCGGTAAAACTCCTGTTTTAAATGTCATTTTGATACTGTTTTATTGTTCTTATTATCTTTCTAGGGAAATGCAACATACTGTTTTGTTGTTTTTGATATCTATTGGGGAAATGTGTCCTCCTCCTCAAAATGTCATATATATAAATATTTTGAATAATGTGGTTTTGACGGTTTTCACTTGTCAGAAAATATTTTGTGTTTGCTTTGGCTTACACTGTACAACTTTTGAATCTAACATGTCTATTTTGAACTGGTTATTGACTTTATTGTCAAACTGGTCAGTAATAAGGATGTCCTCTTCCTCTGCTATGTGAGCGGTTTCCAGGAAAACACTCTCAACATTTTCTTATATATGCCTCAAATTCATGTGTTCAAATTAGCTGATTTCATCAATGATTTATTGGTTTCAGTTTCAACATAGCGATCAGTTATGAAATCTGTCTTAGATTACTTCCAATTGTATTCATTTAATTTAGAATAATGTCACAATTTTGACGATAGACAAGATTTTGAGGCCTGTTGCTATTGAAATGTTTTGTGGTGTGTTTGCGTGAACAGTTAAGTAAAATATCATGGAAGAATTTTGCTATTTCTTTTGTTATTTACAAAAAGTATGCAAAGGAAAGGATGGACTGAACATATATTTTTTTATCATGATTATGACCATTGATTGCAAACAAGGATCAATCTTGTAATTTTAGCCAGATACCAACACTACAAAAAATTAAGTTCATAGACATGTCATATTTAATATGCATAGGTCAGCAGGCAAGTCAGTGAGTTTTGACAAGGTCAGTGGTTATAAAACGACAAAATTTATTACTAGCTACTCATTTCCAGACAACTTAACAAATATTGATGAAATTGGACCAAACTGAGGTTTGTTTTTACTGTATAAGTCGTGGCTTGATGTGTAATGATCGGAGTAGCCTCCCTTGGACATTTGGCCATAATTGGACATTGGCCATTGTTTTTCTCAGTTAAAACTAGCATGTTTTATATTTTTGTCTGAAAAACACCCAACCCTACACACTTGTGATTTTCCAAAACAAGCTTTTAATTAGTCCAGATACTTTAACATCAATTGATGTCATTCTTCTTTTCTTTTCAGAGTTGTCAAGAATTAGTGGAAGTATTAAGGTAAGTGTTCTGATGTCAGGGAAAGAAAATGTTGTTTCGGTGTTTTTTCAAATTTGAATAATATGCTTAATAGTTATTTTGTCTTTAGCTAACAAAAACTACCGTATTCGACGTAATAAATGCCCATCTCTAATAAGCGCCCATGGCGATATTTGCTTATATTGGCTAATGAACAATCCCAATTAGCACCCTTCCGATTGAGCCATGTATACTTATTTATTCGTGTATTATACACACTCATGTGTTATATGCACCCTTAAAATATGGGCAATTAAATTCTGGAAAATATATCTTTTCTTTTGTATCATTTCAGGCTGTCATCATAAACCACGAAATTTACGATCTTTCCGCTCTTTTTTTTTTTCCTCATCAAAATTATGTTCTAATAAGATCCCCCTATTTCTAATTTTGAGAGCGCCCTGGGCGCTTATTACATTGAATACGGTATTACAACATGTCTTTTAAGAACAAAAACTATTTCAACACATTCATTCAAGTTTTAAAGTCATTAGTCTTACTCTTAACCCATGAAATGTTTTTTTATTCAGTCGGAGAGATTTTGCGGAGTTTGCATCCCACTTAGAAGGGTTACTGAAAATATATCAAATTGTTGGTGATAAGTAAGTATATGTTTCCCATAACTGTCTTAATAGTTCTGCCATCCTACCTTTTGTTGATTTATGGTGATACAAATCCCAATTTCAAAATGAACTTTGTCCTAACCCCCATGAGTAATCCAGTAGGGCTGGGACAGGTAACTCGGGTACCCGGGTCGGGTGGGTATTAAGTAAGACCCGGGTACACACAGGAATACCCGGGCCCCGTGGTTAGTCAGGTGATATATTGTTTAAAGACAAGTGTTTAAAGTCAATAATTTTTGCAGTTATTTCTGACTACTACGCCCATTCCTTCTGACTTTTATATGTTTGAATAAAAATAAAACTTCAGGGTACACACCAGATCGTTTTATACATGTATCTAAACACATTTTGCCAGGGCTACGGTCAAACATTTCCCAATCGAACAGTCTCTACCTACCTCTTGAGACCTCAAGCGGGTAGGGTCGGGTAATAGGGGGTGGGTACCCGGGTATTAAGTTTGGACTCGTCCCAGACCCCAAATCCGGGTTAGATTAGGTCACCAGCATCAAACAAGCAAACAAACATCGTAAATGCTTCACTTTTTGGGTATATACTATTACTACGCTGTACGCTCCATCATGGCGGAATAGCAGTGTATGCAAGAAACTGAAGTTTGACTCCGAACGTACGTAAGTGCATAGAATTCATTTGACCATGCTGCATAAGTTCAATTTAGTCCTACAAAACATTAGTCAGTAATTGATGTTGTTTCTTGTTCAAGCAATTCAGGCGTGAACCAAAGACTAAGGCAGATGTAATTACTGTAAATTATCTTTGAAATACATTCTGATGCCGTTAGTACTGCAGCTATGGTCTATTTGTACTCCAAATTAGTTTGAAGACCCCTTCTTATAGGGTGGTACATAGCGTTCAACGTACTTAGTGTTGTAACATTTCTGTATTTCCTCTAAAAAATGCCCGTTCGTATATTAAATTTGGCAAGCCATTGATCAAGTGTCTATTATAGGCATGCATGTATAAGCAGTGTTAGAAACTGGCACTAGTCCTATAGTCCTTGTCATACTGCCCAATAGTTAAGGTAGCATAAGGACGAGTAGAAATTTGTCATTTTAAAGTGTTTTGCTATATGTTCTCATGATAAGGACTAGTGGACTAAAACTGTTAGTTTCTAACATTGTATAAGAGGCCTGGCAATTATAGTGTTTGTTGACATAGTGGCAACTTATGACATCACCTTTCCCGAACTCTGCAGTCACACAAAGGGTACATTTGCTGGAAACAGTGATTTTTAGTCGCCAACATATCACAGAAATAGAGATCCGACATGTAATAGAGGCTCGTCTTCTATTTTTACGACAAAGTGTTTGACCCGGCACCAATGAGAGGCCAGCATGTAATGGAGGCCTGGCGTTTATTAGAGGAAACATGGTACTTTGTTTTGTCTAGAGATATTTTGGAAGTGTAAATTCAGTGGTGTACTTGTTACAACTTCTTGACCTCGTTCAAAACTCTGTGTAATTGGAAATGGTAATTTGGACGACTTTTTGTTTATTAATTGTCATAGTTAGCTTAAAGAGCTGAGTGCTGTGCAGATAACTTGTTTTATGTGGGGCGTTAATCATTTCTGCCTGTAAATGTCCCACAGTTTAATTGCTGTGTTGGAAGCAGCGGGATGTTTGTTGTAGAGGCAGCGGATTTTGTCAGTGTTTGTATTTATCACTGAAGACACATTAGCTATAATATAGATATTTTAGACAAATACAATTATTTGAATTATAACACTAACATCAGCAGGGTATCAGGGTAGATTAAATACATCGTATGTAGCCAGCAGGGCTTGCTCCTTTCAAAAGTTAGTCCCAAAACTAAATGTTTGAGGCTGCAACAGCTACTCAGGGGGCTCTGAACATTTTTAGAACTCCTGACCCCTAAAACGATTTTTCCTGCACTCTAAGATTAAATGCAGGCTTCAATTTGCCTCATTTTGTTGCAATTTATGAGCAAATAAGGATGTTGTTGTATACAACATTACAAAATCGCCACTGGTTGTGACATTCTACCTAAATGATGACCATTCCACACAACCTCATCCTCCTTAACCATTTCCATCGAAATTACATGATTCACGAGCAGTGTCCAATTTAAAAAAATAAACATAGGCAGAGAAGGGGTGAAATTTTGACTAGCTAGATGGGCCATCTACTTTACGCTTCATTAAGCCTTTCGTAATTTTAGCTGGTCATGGACCAACGAGCCAGCAGTTAATCGTGTGCCTCAAGTAAGAGGTTACACATACTTTAGTCACATGAAAAGTACAATATCAACTGGTCTTGTAAAATGTTTTATGGTCTTATAAGATCAACTTGTACTCGTCCATAGACTTAGACAATCAATTCCTGCAAATACCATAGCTCTGTAATATCATTGACATATTCCTATATTTTGGCTGTCATCACACTATAAAAATCTGTTTCTAGGTTTGTCAGCACTATACCCGTGCTCGTGGGTTTCACCGAAGTGGTAAACGTCTGAGACCTGCATCACTTCGGGCTTTCCTCCCACATTAAGCTGACACGCCGCGATATAACTGGAATACTGTTAAAAGCGGCATTAAACCCAACTCACTCACTCACTCACTATAAAAATCTTTTAGATTTTCAACAGAAGTCATCTTCACCGTCAGCTAACCCAAATTAGTTGCATGGATGATAGTTTTCCTCCACCACTGCATATACTGAGACTAACATCTACTGAAAGTAATGCCGAAATACCCGTTCAGGCAGGTAGATTCAAATGCTTTTGACACAGACTGCAATATATCTAAACTATGACCAAAACTTACATTTATGCTCCTTAGTGTTCCAAATAAAGAGGAGTTGTGGCAGTTAACTGTTGTAGTATTTGAATCCAGGGCCAGAAATCTGTATCCTTTGAGTTTGACATTGGTGTTATGACAAGGAGGAACCACAGGATCATTAAGAAGTTTGACATTAACATAAGTCCCCAACACTGAGTCTAGAAATATTCAGCAAGGACAAGTGAACTTCCTTGTGGACTACCACTGTTCGGTGGCAACTTTGTAGGAATCAATTTTGTACATGAGTGAAAATAATATTAATTTCTAATTTGGAAAGGCCTGGGCAAATATTTCAAACTCTTTCAGAGTGTTTGCTGTATCATCATTGTTTGGGTAGTATCTTTCCTGGACCCACTTGCACAAAGCGATCTAAGCGCTAAGATGATCGTAACTCCCATACTTTAGCATAGGCTTACAATAGTCTTATCGCTAAGATCGCTTTGTGCAAGTGGGCCCTGGGGTATTTCATTCCCTTCATTTGTGTTGAAAATTTCAGGCTGCAAGCTGTTGCTTTTTTCTTAACCTTTTTGAAAAAAAAATCCCTAGAAATAATGACAAAATCATTGCTTATAAATATAGTAGTATCTGATTACTCTGTGTCATTTTGATGAATTACCCAGGACTGGCGAAGAGATGAAAAGGAGCATTTATCAGATAGGACAAACCCATTCGAAGTTGGCCATGGTTCTATTTGGTTTCACGTCCAACACACTGATTTATGTCCTGAATACGGTACATGAAACTGCTGCAATGGACATTTTTTAGCACATGCTGCACAAGGCTACAATTTATGATGATAATAAAATTATGAAACCTGATACGCCTCAAACCATTTTGGGAAGGCCACAAATAACAGGACCACCTGGTCTGTATTGAGTTAGGAGGGCATCTATATTGTGCAGTCTTACACAAAACAAAGGGAGAAACACAATACGTTGAAAATTGACTATTTGGCAACTGATGTTGGAAGACGATGCCAAATTGTAGTTTTTGTGGGAGTTTGCATGTCATCATGCCCTGTAGTGGAGATTGTTATTCATACAGTGTTTCTTGAGTGTGTGATCCAGGCTTGATAATTTAATGGCTGCCATCATACTGTTTGAATATGGCTAAATGTGATGTTTCACAACCAGAAGCTAAATTAATTGAAATACTTTTTGTACACAATTTACGAGAAAAGGCAAAACATTTTGATTTCAGTTTGTTTACATGTTTTGTTTCAGAAAAGTGAAAAGTAAAGCATTTCTGTCTCTACAATCTTTGGAATCAGATCTCAACCTTCTTGCCCAGTTACAAAGGTAAAGTCAACCTACATCTACCGTATTCCACGTAATAAGCGCCCCGCTCTAATAAGCGCCCACGGCGATATTTGCTAATATATTGGCTAGTGAACAATCCCAATCAGCACCCCTTCCGATTGATAAATGTACACAAGACTTATTTATTCGTGTATAATACGCACTCATGTGTTATATCACCCTTAATTATGGGCAATTAAATTCTTGAAAAATATATCTGTCGTATGTAAACATTTCAGGCTGTTAGCATAAACCACGAAATTTACGACCTTTCAACTCAAAATAATATTCTAATAAGCGCCCCCTATTTCTAATTTTGAGTGCCCTGGGCGCTTATTAGGTTGAATACGGTACTACTCAAAGAAGTTAAAGAACACCCAATTTATTTGCAAAATAGCATTCAAATTGTGGGTGTTCTTAAACATGTTTTCAGTATAGTTATCACATGCTGATGTGTTAGAATATTCTATTCAAAATAATCCATGGATAAAACTTATTTAAGCAAGTTTATTGTATTCACCAGTTTTGTGTAATTTGCTTTTTCTATGTCATTTTTATTTGTTATGTGAAATGGATGAACGAGGACACAATGATTTTAAACTTGTCAGTGGTCCACTGTGAATGACTTGAGGTAAAATAATTGGTGTCTTCATACAACAGATTCATCTGCAGGGGCTTCCTTCTGATAGCCAGAATGTTTTGTTCTCGCTGTACGATAGATACAGTTGTGAAATGAGAAACTTTGAGTAAACTTCAACTATTTTTCATGTTGATACATCACAAGCCTCGTATGACAGACTTGCATACTTCTGGGTTTCTTTTTCTTCTTCGTGGACCACTTCTGTGGTCTTGTAGACAGAGCTCCTGCCTGGAGAACGGAAGGTCGGGGGTTCAGTTCCCGGCCGCGTCATTCCAAAAGATGTTTAAAGATAGTATTTGTTGTTACCCTGACTGGCGCTCGGCATAAGGGGAATTAAACAAGGACTGGTCAGCTCAGAGTCAGTATACTGTGTCTGAGTTGGTCATTATGTTAAACTGCGGCATGGTATCTCAGTGGGTTAGCACTATTAAAACGTCCTTATTCCGAACTGTTACAAGCAGATGCACGCATGCATGCACAACACTATAAGTTCAATAATCTTTAACACCACGTTAACCCAGATTTCAACTCACCTCACATATTTTGCATTCATTTTCTTACCATCATGTGATTTTATTTACAGCTCTATCAATGGTGTTGGAAACTATATACACAAGTCCCCTCTAGGTATCCTGTTGCCAAGGAAGGGAGGTAAGCAGTACTGCATACTTGCTGTGTACTACAGAATGAGTGAGTGAGTGAGTGAGTGAGTATGGTTTTTTTTTTGCTGCAGTCAGCAGTATTCTGGTCCTCAAAATGGGTCTTATCTACGGTCATATCCGGTAAACTTGTCATTAGAACTGACCAGGGCCAATTTCTACTGGTCCTTATGATACCTTTACAATTGGGCAGTTTGGTAAGGACTATAGGACTAGTGCCAATTGCTAACGCTGCTGACTAAAATGAATTGGCTGACCTGGTTCTCTGATGACATGAACAGTTCGTTCATACTTCAGTCACTTCTTTGTATGGTCCACACTTGATTATATAGATGTGATGCAATGAAAATATATTTGACTGGGCATTAAACAGCATTCACTCACTCATTCAGGCATAATTTGGGTCCATTTGTTACCATTACCTCAAAGAATTACAGAGCCATAATAGCATAATGTATATTGTCAAGGATGCTAATTTGAACAGATATTAATTTTCTTGTGTTTATTACCCCAGTATATCTTGAGATGTGGACCAAGATTTGACAGGAATGGTTGTTCAAAAACAATATTATAAGTGCAGGAGGTTGAATTGCAGATAATCATGATCCCCATTTGACACTGAGATGCTAGGTTACGGCAAGTGAGGTGGTCATTGTGCTTAGTTGTCATTGTGAAATGAGTGAGTGAGTGAATATGGTTTTACGCCGCTTTTAGCAATATTCCAGCAATATCACGGCGGGGGACACCAGAAATGGGCTTCACACATTGTACCCATGTCGGGAATCGAACCCGGGTCTTCGGCGTGATGAGCGAACGCTTTAACCACTCGGCTACCCGACCGCCCCTCATTGTGAAATGAGGCCCATGGTTGTTTTAATTGAACCCATTCTTGCAATATATAGCTAGTTTCATAATTCACCAAATAGCCCTGAGGCAGATCATGTTGTCTGATTTTAAGCCAAGGGACAAAATACCTTGTTTTGTTCTACTTAATGGGGACTAACAATCTTTTATGGATTGTAGTTTGAAATACTAAACTCTGAATTAATTATTAGTAATTTGAAATGTCAAACTTTTGTATTTGTTTTACACAAAATGTTATTCTAAAAAATATAATCTCTTTTGTTTTCAGGTTTGCCAATGAAGCTAATTTATTTTGTATCGCCCTATGATCTACTAGACAAGAAGAGCAAGTCAGCCCACGCTATGACAGTGGAAGGTAGGCCAGTATACATCTAGCAACTCACTGCGGATCTTGCATTGTATTCAGTATGCTACTGTCCTGGAGGAAGTCAGATACTAACAGTCAGGATGTGAACAGGTCTGACAAGGCCTTGGATGCAGATGTTGGCCATTAAAAAGCCTAAAAATGGATAACGTGCTTTGAAACTGTAATTTTCATACCCAGATACATCTTGAGTGAACTGACAAGAAACATATACATCTTTTCATAGTGTGAAAAAAACCTGTTGGATTTTGTTAAAAACCTCACAGAAAAGAACTCTTCCCTTTATAGGGTCTGTAACTCGAGTTATCTCTCTTCCAACGGTCAGCCGCCGCTGTTGGAGTCAAATGTGCCAGAATCTAAAAGTTGAATGGAAGGGCAGAAAATATCTCACGTTTTCATATTGAATTTTGGGGTATGAGCCTCAAAAAGGCCTTAAAAATTACTGAAATTCTGTACAAATCCTGGAAGTGAAAAACAAGCTTGACATCTAGCTAGGGTTAGTCTGTGAGCATTTGGCCTTCCTGTAAGGCTTTCCTGAAAGTTATTTAGTGTAACGGAATTGGCTTGATGTAAAATGTTGGTTTTTCATTTCGTTCAATGTAAATGAATATCAGGGATTAAACTAGGTTTGTATATTTGCGAGTCCGGGGGACAGTCAGTAATGAAGTTCTGGGGTCCTAGGTATTACGATGGGAGTCCCTGGACCACTACTGTACCAACCGAAAATAGAATACACTGCATATCTATAGTCTCTTGTGTTCAATGGGACTTGCAGTGCACTTAAACTTGAATCATAAGAAGTAGTGAGTAATACAAGGTTCTTTCGCTTTTTTGAACATCTGTGTTTTATCCTAGAGGCAACAACTCGTGAGTATCATGCCATTGTCATTGGTGAAAGCTAACTGCTCCTCGACAGGGGTAATGCTGTTTGTTCCACCAGTCCTGTTGATTCCTTAACCATTAAGAGTGAAAACATCTTCCCAAGGCAAGGGAGGTAACTGTCCATAAAAGTCCAGTTTCCAACCTTGCTGATCTAGGCAGGAATTTCTGAGTTATTTTAGCTGACCTTATAAGTCTATGCATAGTCCAATAAAAAATCGCTTAAAGAAATCGACACCCGGTTCATAAACAACATGGCAAATGCTGTACAGTTTATGGTTGATTGCAGGATTTGAAAAGCATGTGATATCGCCAACTTGGCGTCAACAGATATTTTCCAAATCCTTTCATGTTTTAATCAAAGCCCTCAAGTGATTTGATTCACTTCGCGAAGAATGATACAGGCCCCCATTCCACAAAGCTATCTTAGCGCTAAGTTGGTCGTAACTCCCATTCTTTAACACTGACTTACGACAGTCGTAGCACTAAGATCGCTTTCTGGAACGGGTCCCAGATTTTCATTATGGTGTTGACGTCATTTTGTTTGAAGCAAATGCAAGTGAAATTAGAGAATCTGATTGGTGAATAGGATGGGCATATAAGGGACATAACTCATACTTAGCCTTGGTAGCACAACAATCAAGCTGTGAAATTCTAAGCCAGTTCGGCAAAGGAGGAAACTGGACTTATATAGTCACTTAACTCCCTTGTCCCGGGACGATAGAACAAAGAAAGCCCTGAAACAAGTTGGAATCTTTAATGTATCCCCTAAAACTTTACTAGTTACACAGTTTCATAGTTTAACACACAAATTCAGCATTAGAAATTGGCACTATTCCTGTAGTCCTTACCAAACTGCCCAATAGTAAAGGTATCCTAAGGACTAGTAGAAATTGGTCCATTTTTAGGGTTTTGCTATATGTTATCATTATAAGGACTAGTGGACAAAAAACATTAGTTTCTAACCCTGAAATTATGGATTAAGTTCATGTTATTTGTGAACATTTATTTCTAATTAACTGTGTTTTAACACAACATTTCCATTGTAATTCCCTCATTTAGGAATACATTAGCACATGATGCTGCACTGTCAACTATAGCACACAACTAACAAACTCATAACCACAGTCGATCATGAGGAACGTTCCACGTGCACATCAACCCAAACTTTTTTGTTCACACCTGTGAAGATCCGGGGTAGAATAGGTCTTCAGCAACCCATGCTTGCCGTAAGAGGTAACTGTGCTTGTCGTAAGAAGCGACTAACGGGATCGGCTGGTCAGGCTTGCTGACTTGGTTGATGCTAATGGCTAATGGCTAATGGCTAATAGATGGTCCAGATTGTATAGATTCAGTCGCGAAACTGTCTTTTGGAATAACCTGTGTTACGTGTTTTGAGGCTGCATGATAAGAAAACACATTCCAACTGTCACTTTCCTAATCTGGTAAGCGGTGCTCTGATTGGTTGTATGAAAGTTTGTTGTTACAAGACCCATAATGGGATGTCCTCATATCTTTGTTAAGTGGTAGCGAGAACTAAGGTCTGATTTTCATGATTGGATTCTCACAGGTACATGAACTCTACTGCAGTGAATAATGTATTAAAAAGGCTGAGGGTGTTGAATATAAGGGTTGTGCCTCTGTTTCAGCCATCACGGAGCACGGCCTGGGTCAGAGTGTGACCGTGTGTCTGGAGGCGGCCACACCCAACAAGCTGCAGACAATGCCCCTCATGACTGTTGTAAACAGAGATGGGAAAGGGTGAGTTTACATGGATGATTCTACAGAAATTGAGTTATTTGTGTTTGAATCAATAACTGCTCGTCCATTGAAGGTGCATGGGTTGTGCATCACTCCTCCTCCTCCCCATCTTCCTCCCCCTCCTCACCCTTCATCCTACTCCTCCCTCTCCACATGCTCCTCCTCCCTCTCCACACACCCTTGATCCTACTCCTCTCTCTTCATCCTACTCCTCCCCCCTCTGCACATGCTCCTCCCCCCTCTCCACATGCTACTCCCCCTCTCCACATGCTCCTCCTCCCTCTCCACATGCTCCTCCTCCCTCTCCACATGCTCCTGCCCCTCACACCCTTCATCCTTCTCCTCCCTCTTCATGCTCCTCCTCCCTCTCCACATGCTCCTCCTCCGTCTCCACATGCTCCTCCTCCTCCCTCTCCACATGCCCCTCCTCCTCCACATGCTCCTTTCAGGATCTGCCTCCGCTCTTAGATAACACTAGATAACAGTCACTGTTGTGAGACACCCATGTGTCATCAGTCCATCTGTAATGGTACAATTGTTGTTTCAGCATCCCATCATTTCAAGGCCTGACCCATGTCAACAGTTTCACCTTCCCGGCCTGTTTTGTGCTGGAGCTGCCGGAGCCCATCCCTCTGGCACTGTCTATGATTCAGAAGATACAGTCACATACAAGTCAGTATATTTCAGCAAGGGACATTAGTTCATAATACTAACAATTGGTTTGCTGGCCTATACATGATTATTTACATGCCACAGTGATATATATATTTCGCTGGAATATTGCTGACTGGCATGAACAACAAACAGACAACCTTATTTAGTAGCATCCGATGACAAATAAGAGAGTACTGATGTTCTATCATATTCCTGTTCCTAGGGATCACCTCTGTGGTCTTGTGAGGTTGGAAGGTCGGGGTTTTCATCCACTGTCTTAAATAACTGTTTCTATCACTGATGGTACTTGATGCTACCCTGCCTAGTGTGTGGCATTAAGGGGATAAGACAAGTACAGGTCATCATACTGAATGGGACGCTAAACCCAGTTAACCTCAGCTCAGTGTTGCAGAGCTTACTAGTTTGATAGAAGTGTTTCTTGGTCTTCCACTGTTCTGTATTCTGTTGAGACTTCCTTATATTTGTGATCGCCTCACGGTCTAGTGGTAGAACGTCCGCCGGGGAGAGCAAAGGTCCAGGGTTCAATTCCCGGCCATGTCATACCAAAAGACATTAAAAGATAGAACCTGTTGTTACCTTATCTGGCGCACGGTGTTAGGGGGCTAAAACAAGGACACACACACACGTGCATACACGTCACTAAATAAGTGCAATAATCGTGGATACGACGTTAAACCCCATTTCACCTCACCTCCTTATATTTTGTTTTTCTCTTATTGCAGATATAGACATTGAGAAAGGTGCCGAACCCAAACCACTGTTGTCCCTCATAATGGAAAAATATTCAAATGGAAAAACTCTCAATGAGACAGAGCTCTTTGTGGTAAGTTGTGTAGCTTGTTTTCATGGTATGACAAAAGGACTTCCTAGATTATACAACAGCTATCCAAATTGAACATCCAGGTTGAAGATTTAAGACGAACACAGCTGATCACAGGCTAACGGCTATCTTAGGTTGCAAGGTGAGGTCTCTGTGTTAGGAATTCCACTGATATTTGAGTTGTTGGAGTGACATGATATCGGAAATGAACACTAGGCCACATGTTTTGTTTATGGTAATTGTGATCAATTACTTGGGTTCATGGTAATAAAAATATTTTTTTTAGTTCAATGTAAGTGTATTTGTTTTGGGCAGGAAGTATTTTAAATTTTTTTTTATGTTCTTGGCTTTTCACTCCATCAATCTAACCCTTAGACCAGAAAAAAATTGACATATTTTTCGCCTTGATATAATTAATCTATTTGGAATATGTAAAGGTGTTGACTGTGATTTGATTGGCATCACATGAAGTCTGTCAGGACATTGATAATACTTGCTAGTTTCTTGTAGAGGAATGGGGATCTACATGACAATACTTGCTAGTTTCTTGTAGAGGAATGGGGATCTACATGACAATACTTGCTAGTTTCTTGTAGAGGAATGGGGATCTACATGACAATACTTGCTAGTTTCTTGTAGAGGAATGGGGATCTACATGACAATACTTGCTAGTTTCTTGTAGAGGAATGGGGATCTACATGACAATACTTGCTAGTTTCTTGTAGAGGAATGGGGATCTACATGACAATACTTGCTAGTTTCTTGTAGAGGAATGGGGATCTACATAACATAATACTTGCTAGTTTCTTGTAGAGGAATGGGGATCTACATAACATAATACTTGCTAGTTTCTTGTAGAGGAATGGGGATCTACATGACAATACTTGCTAGTTTCTTGTAGAGGAAAGGGGATCTACATGACAATACTTGCTAGTTTCTTGTGGAGGAATTGGGATCTACATGACATAATACTTGCTAGTTTCTTGTAGAGGAATTGGGATCTACATGACATGAAATCACATGGTGATAATACTTGCTAGTTTCTTGTAGAGGAATGGGGATCTACATGACAATACTTGCTAGTTTCTTGTAGAGGAATGGGTATCTACATGACAATACTTGCTAGTTTCTTGTAGAGGAATGGGGATCTACATGACAATACTTGCTAGTTTCTTGTAGAGGAATGGGGATCTACATGACAATACTTGCTAGTTTCTTGTAGAGGAATGGGGATCTACATAACATAATACTTGCTAGTTTCTTGTAGAGGAATGGGTATCTACATGACAATACTTGCTAGTTTCTTGTAGAGGAATGGGGATCTACATGACAATACTTGCTAGTTTCTTGTGGAGGAATTGGGATCTACATGACATAATACTTGCTAGTTTCTTGTAGAGGAATTGGGATCTACATGACATGAAATCACATGGTGATAATACTTGCTAGTTTCTTGTAGAGGAATTGGGATCTACTTGACATAAAATCAGGACTGCTGGTTAACACAGATACTGACAATGTAGGAGACGTTGTGAGTGGACTTGTGATACTGTTCTATTACACATAATCATGGTGTCTGTCTTCAGTCCTTGCCAGACCAGCAGCATGTGTACTTCATGAGCAACGTGAACGGCAGCTCCCTGGACCAGCCTGGTGTGATGGTGTCCCGCATCCCGTTCACACATCCCATGAACGTTGCTCACATTCTCAGTCATCTACGCCAGCAGCTTGTCTTCAACACTGTCGTCAGCAGCTGCATCAGACCCAACTCCAAACAAGGTATGTTGGACACTGAGTTACATCCTCTGGAAACTAGGGTTGCTGATGAGGGACGAAGTTTACCATCGTTGACCTAGGTTCAGTGTTTGCCTAGGTGACCACTTGACTTGTCTTTGTGATGGGTGTCACGAAGTTTACCATCGTTTACCTAGGTTCTGTGTCTGCCCAGGTGACCACTTGACTTGTCTTTGTGATGGGTGTCACGAAGTTTACCATCGTTTACCTAGGTTCTGTGTCTGCCCAGGTGACCACTTGACTTGTCTTTGTGATGGGTGTCATGAAGTTTACCATCGTTTACCTAGGTTCTGTGTTGGCCCAGGTGACCACTTGACTTGTCTTTGTGATGGGTGTCATGAAGTTTACCATCGTTTACCTAGGTTCTGTGTTGGCCCAGGTGACCACTTGACTTGTCTTTGTGATGGGTGTCATGAAGTTTACCATCGTTTACCTAGGTTCTGTGTTGGCCCAGGTGACCACTTGAATTGTCTTTGTGATGGGTGTCATGAAGTTTACCATCGTTTACCTAGGTTCTGTGTCTGCCCAGGTGACCATTGACTTGTCTTTGTGATGGGTGTCACGAAGTTTACCATCGTTTACCTAGGTTCTGTGTCTGCCCAGGTGACCACTTGTCTTGTCTTTGTGATGGGTGTCACAAAGTTTACCATCGTTTACCTAGGTTCTGTGTTTGCCCAGGTGACCACTTGTCTTGTCTTTGTGATGGGTGTCACGAAGTTTACCATCGTTTACCTAGGTTCTGTGTTTGCCCAGGTGACCATTGACTTGTCTTTGTGATGGGTGTCACTAATGGGTGTCATCCTTTCGCAAACTCCTGGTATCATCACTATTTTATAGTGATTCTTAAACCCATGTTTCTGATGTAGTTGGAATCATACAACAGATTCTGCTTTTAGCTTTTCTTATGACTATGGAGTGAGTATAGCTTTTTGCCGCTTTAAGCATTATCCCAGCAATATCACGGTGAGGGACTCCAGAAATGGGATCCACACATTGTACCCATGTCGGGAATCGAACCCGGGTCTTCGGCGTGACGAGGGAACGCTATAACCGCCAGGCTACTCAACCGTCCCTTATGGTTTTGATGCTTTTATTTACTCCTATGCTTTGAGAACACTTACAACTTCAGCCTCAACAGAGATCCACAATCAATGACAGGCAATCAACCAGGTGCATTGTTCAAAATTAAGCATGAAAATCAAGGGACCCATGTAATAAGCTTGTCATGTTTCTGAAATAGCGAATGCTGTTGTGATAGAGCTGACAACGATCTCCCTACCCACCACAATCCACTTCAGCTGTGCCACTTAATGTTTCAGATATGGCGAATGCTGTTGTGATAGAGCTGACGACGATCTCCCTCCAACAGATCTGTATAACCATGGAACACCCTGTATATGACTCCATGTTGAACGTGGAGCTAGATCTGGGAGATATCACCAGCCTCAAGTGTCGCCTGTCTTCAGGTCACACGGACCAAGTTCTCTGTACTGATGACTTTGCTTCCAGGGTGTTCCAGAGGTAAGGGAGATAACTGTTGTATTGCTTTCTTTAAAATCACATATTTGTAAGATAATATTTTAGAAAGTGATTAATATATTTTTCTCATTGTATTCTACCTTTTTTGTGACTTTTTAGGCTAATGACCTAATTACTTTCCGACCCTGTTATCTTGAATGTACCGATATCTCAAGCTTATATCCAGTCCTGACCTCCTCACGATAAAAATAAATATAAATTTGACCTCTTATCACAAATTCGAGATACAAAATACATAGCACTATCTCAAACCTTGGCCTTGGTTGGTTGTTTAATGCTGCTCTCGGCAGTATTCGAGGTGTTTGACGGCGGTCTGTAAAGAATCGAGACAATCCAGTGATTAATATCATGAGCTTCGACCTATGCAATTGGGATCAATGACATGCATCAACCAAGTCAACCAGCGAGTCTGACCACCCAATCCCGTTAGTCGCCTCTAATGACAAGCATTTCACAGAGATGTGAGCAGTTCTCCTGGATATAGACTGTGGAATCCGGAATGAAGTCAAAACAGATCACTTGCAACATTGTCTAGTTTCATCCACTGAACTTCAGAAGCAATGGGCATTAAGAGCAAACAGACATCTGTCCCTGACTCTTTTTGTAAAAAATGTTATAGTTTGTTTATACCACGCACATCTCACTCAGCTGTTGTCAACCCAAAATGTAATACCTGTCCACCTGTACATCTGGCACAATTTTTATTGATTATTTCGCGTAAAATACATTTCCATTCGTCATCACACACACATGTTGCAGCGATGCCAACCATTACGCTTTGGGCACAATATTTACACTTTTGAGCCTAAAATTACACTATTACGCTTATCCTCCCCAAAATATGATTTTGGACATTTTTTTCACGAATTATTTACATGTACAAGATATCAAGGAGAGCAAATTGATCGTTGCTCACGATATCATAATTAACAGGCCACAGTCATATAGCTGGAATATTGCTGAGTGTGGCGTTAAACTACTAGTCGCCTATGCTTGTCATAAGGTGACTGACAAGCTTTTGGTGGTCAAGCATGGTTGATTGCATATCAGTGCCAATTTGTCTGGTCCAGATTTGATTATATAGAGGCCACTGTGATATGGCTGAAATATGGCTGAAATATTGCTGACTTTGGACTTAGGAGAAGGAGGAATATATGTACAGGCAAATGCATGAGGATGGGTTTCAACATACTGTAAGATTTGTCATCTCTTTTCAGATGCCTGTCAATCCCAATCACTCTGAGGTCGATCATCAAGAAGGGTAGAGAGCAGCTGCAGAAGCTACTTGAAGAAAGGCTGGCAGCGATGAAGATGGCCTTATGGCAGCGCAACAACCGCCCCCAACCCACACAGACACCCAGTATACACTCCAGGGGGAGACAACCCGTGTTCGTGAACCCCGCCCTGTCCCAGGTGCCCCAGCAGATGGCCCCTATGCAGCAAATGCAACACCAAGTCTCTCATCACCATATGCCCCACCCTATGACTCACCAGATGTCCCATCACCACCATCATCAACTGCAACAGCAGCAACAGCATCAGCTGCAAGTCAACCAGCTGCCTCCACCTGCTCAAATGACCGACATGAGGGGTCAGATGCAAGATATGCGGGGACAGATGCAAGATATGCGCAGTACCATCGCTGACCTCCTCTCTCCCCCTTTGGACAAAATTGGCAATAATCCTCTGTTGGCTGGACTTCTCGACCAGGAACATGATGGCTCTAGTCAAGAAGTGAATGACAGTCCCATGTTGTCCAAACTCTTAGAAGATCAGACTACGGGAGCTGCTTCAACTGCAGCTGCCGCCGCTGCTGCTGCAGCAGCAGGTTCTATACCATTGGCAAATGCAACAAAACCATCAGCCCTTCATAAACGTGTGCGCAAAAGACGTTCTACTTCTGACCAGCTAGGTCGAAGTCCCAAACATAGACTGAGTGATGGTGAAGGAAATGATAAGATAACCACTATAGACTTAGACTCGAGCTGTAGTCCATTTGATTCTAGTTTACAAAGCAGTTCTGGCCTGCCCCCTGCACCAGGCCTGCAGTCCATTATTGACTTAACAGAAGATTCATTCGGGGAATCAAATCTGAAGAAGCTTGCAGATAGTATGGACAGTTTGATTCCTAAGGATCAAAAGCAAGCGACGGAAAATGAACTGTCAGCATTGTTGTCAGACGCGGATCCTGGGAGGAGTCTTTTATCCAAAAATTCATCGCCGGGTTCAAAAAACGAGAATGCCTCTACCTCTCTTGAGGATCTCCTCGCTGGGTCGGGAGAGGGAAACGAGGCTCTAGACCCAGCTTCTTCTCTTAGTAGTTCCTCTTCCAGTATAGCGTCAGATAAAAACAGTGGAAGAAATGCTGCTTTTTTAGGCTTTAAGTCCAGCAGTCCCAGGCAGGACTCCAAATCTCCCATCTCCTCGAGTTTTCACAAGGAAGTTTTTAGCCCTGACCGTGAAAGGTCTGATCCTCTACACAGTGCAATGTTTGATAGGACAGCGTTTGATCTTCCCGAGACCAAGTACTCTGTTAAGACACCTCCCATTAAGACTGAATCCAGTTCCTCGGATAGGAGGGAGATTACAGGTTTGTTTGAAAAATTTGAAAAGTTAAAAAATGAAAATGTGGAACCAATGTGTACAAGTATTGTGAAAATTGAGGAAGGGAAGGGGTTGAAGTTGAAGCTGCCTGCTTTGAGGCATAGTGATAGCCGCAGCGCACCTGCTGTGAGCATGGAATCTCTGTCAAGCAAAAGCCTTGGCAAACAGAGCAATGTGGGTACGTTTGACTTTAAGAGTGATGAGGATGAGGATGAACCTTTGCCAAGCCTCAGTGGTTCGGAGAGGCTAGCAGTATATGCAGCATCACCTACCAGGCTGCAGATTACTAACAAATCAAAAAACTCTTATGATACCTCCTCCCGTAGAAAGAGTGAAAAGTATAAAAGGAAAGAGAGCAAGTATGGCTCAAGTGGTGAATCTGTGAAGAGGAAGAGAGGGAAGGATGAATCGAAGAAGGAGAGAAAGAAGCGGAAGTTGGGTGAGAGTAACCAGTATTCTAGCGTGGCTGTGAATAAAACTGTATATCATGCTGCAACTGTGGAGAGTGATCAAAAGTCGGTCACCAAGCTGAAAATTAGAGTGTCAAAAGAGCCTTCTTTTAAAATTGAGGAGGACACCTCCAAGAAGTCCTCCAAACACTCATCCACTCCAGTGGTAGACAAGTTGATTGTCTCCAAACATGACTTGAAAGATCCAGACATAATTTCAAGCCATAAATCACAGTCATCCTCTCAAAAAAGTCTTCATCGCTCATCATCTTTATCTCAGAGATCAGCAAGTCCAAATCAATCTCAGGGTAATAGTGTTAGCAAGTCAGACCCTAAACTGGCAACTAAAACTACAATCCGACTCAAACCACTCAATATTCCTAACTCAGGATCTTCAGTAACTGTCCAGACTGACAAAAAGAGTCCTTCTACATTGAGCACCGCTAAAAATCTTACATCCACTAAAACATCAGTGTCTAATTCATCCCGACCTCAGGCACCAATAGTTTCAAAGGTATCTCTCTCACCCAGTCCAGTCAGGACACCAACGTCCTCCCCCTCCAAGCTTGCTTCCCAGTCATCGGGCAAATCAAGTTCCTCTAAATCCCTCACATCCTCCAAATCCTCTTCCAGTCTACCAAAACCTCCCACATCACTCAGTTTGTCAAAAAACCCTGTGTCAAACCTTTCTAAGTCACCTTCAGCTTCAAATTCGCCAAAATCTGTCACCTCGACAAAATCTTCAACACCCACCAGTAGTGCTAAAACTCCAACTACACCGGTCACTGCTAAAACTCCTTCAAGCTCGTCTAAAAGTCACTCATCCAGTCCAGCAAGGCCATCAAGTCAAAATCCAAAACTGTCCTCGTCTCAGACAATTAAATCCTCATCCTCATCCTCAGGATCACCTAAAACCAGCACCAGCTCATCCAAATCTTCAAGCTCTAATAGATCAGTCAGTAGCAGCTCAAACAAATCATCAAGCTCCTCCAAAACGCAAACATCAAGCTCTTCTCGGCCTCAGTCCAGCTCAACAAAATCTCAGAGTTCCGGCTTAACAAAATCTAGTAGCAGTAGCTCATCAAAGGATAAGAACGCTTCAAAAACCTCCAGTACGCCAAAATCCTCCAATGCTTCAAGTTCTAGCTCCAGCAAGAATTCATCTACCTCAGGCCCTTCCCTCCCGGCTGCCCTATCCATAGCTAGTTTCCTCCCCGATGCGCCCACGGCTAGTAGTGTGGCTAGTCTTCCCCCAATCCCCAAATTATCCTCCTCCTCCTCGAGCAGTGGAACTAGTCACAGCAGCAACACCAGTCAAGGCTCAGGAGCATCTAGCTCCAAGGATCTCTCCACCAATACATCAGGAGCTGCTCCCAACTCTGGGGGATCAAGTAACACCAGTGCTTCACACAGTTCTAAAGCCTCGGCAAGTTCCAGTGCTAATGTTACTAAAAGCTCTAGTGGCAGTGCTTCTGGGAATACCAGTTCGAAAAGTAATTCCACTGTAAATAGCAAACCTGTTGAGTCCTCAAGTGCTTCAGAAGGTGCTGGTGGAAATGGTTCCGGCTCAGGATCGTCTGGTGATGCTGGTGCAAATAAAGGCAAACTGCCAGCTGCCAGATCGAGAAAGGGATCTTTGTCTGCTGTGATTGACAAGCTGACAAAATCCAGCACTACTGCAGTGCATGTCAGTACTATGACACCGGGGGAAGTGTTGGCCAAACAAGCTCGGGAGAAGGCTGAACAGGAGAACAGAGCTTTGGCTGAGCAAAGAGCCTCCCGCTCAGACCCTAAGGCTCAAGATCATGTGTTAAATAGTTCAAAGACAGAGCGAGAGAAAAGTGATTCTGGTGACACGAACCGGAACCGGATGGATTCTCAAATCAAAAGGAATATGTCTGTGGGATCTTCAAATAAGGATTCGCCCAAAGTGTTGTCTTCTGTGAATAATAAAGTGAGTCGTAATGAAATGATAAAACTGGGGCAAAATTCCTCTCCTCTAAACAAGGTGGTTACATCCGAAAACAATTCAGTGTCTTCTTCACCAAGGACCAACAGTCTAGGTTCCTCTAGATCTGTTGGGAGGGCCAGTCCTGTGAATAAGGAGGCCCTGAAAAATAGGGACAGCCCAGTGGGTCGGGCTAGCCCTGGAGGCAAGTCAAGCCCTGGGATTAAAGATAGTCCTGGTAGGCCAGGTGCTTCAACAAACTCTGTGCTTGATGGAAAGGATAAAGTCAATGCCTTTTCAAAGGATGATAATAAAAACAGAAGACAGTCCGTGGAGAGTGGGAGAAGTGGGTCTCCAGTGACAGGGAATAAACCTGTGGGAAATGTGTCAAATAATAAAAAATCTGAACTCTCAGATAAAGGCAGCATTAAAGGGGGGAGTGTCTCTCCTTTGACGATTCAGAATGTGCAAAATGTAGGTGTGGAGAAGCGAAGTCCTTCGCAAAAACATTGCACTTCGCCTCTTGTGTTCAACAATACTAAATTCAATGGAGAAAGTTCTAGAGAAAAGACTCCTAACAAGGAGGAGCGAGAAGCATTCAAAGTGCCGACGCCCAAAGCTTCCACCCCTGAGACTCGCGATATGGACGAGCTAGAGTGTGTGCCACGAAAAAAGCAACGAGTCAACAAGAACGTGTCCAGCCCTCATAGTGATGCAAGTAGTCCAGAAAATGGGCTTGTTATAGATTGTCCGGGGACGCCCAAGGTCAATAGCAACGGGCCGTCACCTATGCCAGTTCTTGAAAGTCCAGTTAAAGATACACCAGCTCCTCCTCCACCCACTGATGGTAAACCGACTCCTGTGAAATCCTCTACTGTGTCAAGTTCTCCTAAATCCAAAGTGCATCAGTCACCACGCCCCAGCCAAAGCCCTGCCGGGGTCAAGGTCACGAGTAATTCCGAGACCCCAGGGAGTGGGGATACCCGTCACTCCCCTTGTGAAATAGATGATGAACTCATGGATGAAGCTTTAATGGGCCTGAATAGCTGATGATTGTGTTTTAGGGTTTTGAAAAAAAAAAGGAAAACCACAAATTGTCCATTGTGACCAGTGGGGTCAGAACAGTAATAGGATATGACCCTACTGATTTTATTTAAGTCATTTATGGATTTCCTTACAGTTAAGAATGATTGTCAAAACTAGCCTAAACATTCCTAAACAAAAACTTTCATTTGGTAAGACTTGGAATGTTTTTGTAATTATAGATTATGTTAAACATACCTCTGTCACTGGGTTCTTCAAAAGACGGTTGATTGTCTTAAAACCAAAGATTTAAAGTTTTTGTTTAGAATATCCAGTTTTGACCTTGTCCTATGAATTAGTTCAATACAGTATGCCAACATTCAAGGTAGATTCTGAATTGTCAATTCATTTTACTTCTTCTATCGAGTCATGAAATAGGGAAAGGGATTTTTTGTCATCCAAAATACACCATGTACTCTGTCCTTTATGCTGGCATTGATACATTACAAGAATCTTATTCAGTTCGGTGATCTTTAGACATGTTCCCTGGTCCATAAGGAATTGATATTCTGTCTTTGCAGTAGTGAGATGTGGTTTTCTTTGTATACCAAGGTGTGATTAAAACTGACATGCAAAGCCAAACTGGTGTCCTTCATGGAAATGGCACAGCTGCCAGACAAGCTGATACCTTTGCCAAAATCTCTTCCTGGTTTCTCATATTGTTTGAATGCCGTTGTGGGCCACAAACTGATCGTAGTGCTAAGACTGGTCTAACCTCTATACATTAACATAGACTTACATCTGTTGCAGCACTGAGATCACTCCCTGGTTCTTGAGTGTTTACTGATGTCAGATCATCTTCAGGTGTGCACTGGTCTTTTGTTATAGAGGAGAAGGGGGTGCAGGGGAAACGAAAATAACAGTCTTAGAGATTGAATCATCAAAGAAATTGGACACTTTATCGCACAAAGTATTGTCAGCCAAAAATTGAATTTAAGGTATTTTTGAGGGTTTAAATATTTTTTCAGCCAGACCTGGATTAAGTGAAAAAAAATTCGTCCCACTTTTTCTAAAGTCTGTAGTTTGAGTACTGTCTTCCATGTTTTCATATGGAGAGGGGCTAGATTTCTTTTTATCATTGATTTAAGTATAACTGCATTGATGTTATCTGAAACTTCAGTTTAAAAAGCAAATATAGTTATGAGGTATTTTATTTACACCCCAACTATGGAGACTGTGTTACAAAGTGTGGATGGCGTTTAGACAATATGTATGATCCAGGACTCGCTGGCTGTTGTTTCATTAAAACATGATGCCATATTAACGGCTGATACATGTGATGCAGGTTTTCTCGTGAAATGGTAAGTCAGATTGTGAAAAAGGTTCGGCGGTCATACATTGTGTCATATTAAAGGATGGGGGTGGTCGGGTAGCCTAGTGGTTAAAACTGACATACACCGAAGACCCGGGTTCGATTCCTGACATGGGTACAATGTGTGAAGCCCATTTCTGGTGTCCCCTGTCATGATATTGCTGGAATATAGCTAATAGCGGGGTAAAACCATACTCACTCACTCACTCATATTAAAGGATGAAAAATCTCTGAGAAGCAACATGTCCCACAAACTCAGTCTTCTCCCCTAAGATACATGACCAGTGCCCAGTACTGAACAAGAGGTCTGTCCCTACATTGTCTGCCCATCATCTGACTGTTAATAATTTGTTATTCTTGTGTTGCTTTCTGAAGTCAAGACTTTGTATTAATTATTGTACCGGTACTTGTTTCTTAGACACATCCACTTTCTCAGGGCAGTATCTCCATGTCTGTTGCTTGTCACTCTGTCTGTTAGTTGTACAAAGTATGATGTTAACCTGTCGTCAGACCCAAAACCAGAGACTGTTTCTCTATTTACTCCTTTGTGAAAAGCCAAAATCACAACAGACTACGTAACCATGGGAATAGCAGCATTACTAGTGAAGATTTGAGCTCACCTGGGCTATAAGTCTAGTTGTGATTATGTCATGGCCTGTTTGTCCGATGTTGCCGTCGATATTAAGATGAAACTTGCTTGTCACTTTGTCGTCATGTTGAAGGTGGTTCAGATATTTATTGTAAATCATGCAGGGTTAGAAATTGGCACTAGTCCTATAGTCCTTGCCAAACTGCCCAATGGTAAAGGTATCATAAGGACTAGTAGAAAATTGCCATTTTTAAGGGGTTTGCTTTATGTTATCATTATAAGGACTAGTGGACGAAAACTAATCAGCAAACAATAACACCTAGACTGTAGACTTTAAATTCCTTGATGTACCACACTTGACGAGAAGCTAGTGTACAATTACATTGTATGTTATGAGCCTTGTTATGTGTGTCATTGTCTCGCCTATGTACAGTGAACCTGACATGACAAGATACTCCAATATGTCTAGATAAAAATACGACACTTTAATGATGCTAGCAAGGAACATTTTTGATTTCATGATAACAGTACTGTAAATTTAAGAAATGAAAAGTGAAACTTATTGAAGATTTCAACACTTTCTTCTCAGGGGCCACAACTCCAAAAGGCTATGCCATGACTGACATTCATCGCTGCTTACTGTAGATGGTGTTGCAGAAGTAGTGTTAAGTTAGATTTGACCAATATGTAACTTATAGCTGTATATACAATAACCAACAGTCATTTGTGTAAAACAGTATCTAGGAATTTATCTAGGATTCTAAACTAAGTGACCCTGGCTGGCAAATTTTGAAAAATAAAATCATTTTTGGTTCAAAATAGGGATTTTTTAAAGTTCATATTTTCTATATTCAGAGGTAGACCTGTTTGAATATGGTATTTTGAGATTGCATTCAATACAATAATATAAAACTAAGCATTAAAAACTCTTCCTTTTTATTGATCCTTTTTTTCAGTAAAATACAGGTTACCTCTACAAAGCTATAAGATTAGTTATTAGTTATATATTAAAATACATATTAAAATTTTCAGTTCCAATTTGGGAATTGTTACTGACATTTGCTGTAGAAATGGGGCCAAATATTGGCTTCTAAGCAGGTCCAGATAAATCCCTGGTATGTTACAAAACTTGATAGCAACAAATGTTATAACATTAGTGTAATTATCTCCAGTGCATGGGTTTGGGTTACTTCTCCTTGAGCTTATCAGTTTGCCAATTTGATTATTCACAATTTCTTATAAGGGGAGACTACTCTATTGTATGGGCATTATACGGTCTAGTTTTTCTCCAGTTAATTTCCTGATTTGATCATTCAAATTTTTTTGTAAGGGGAGATAATTTATTATTGTGGCTGTGTTTATCATAAGACACTGATGACTCTGCATATTAAGAATTTTCAAGTTGTGAACTAGCAGTATTTGTGAAACAAAATCATTTATTTCATCTTTTAGTTTAAAATATTTTATCATTTTGAAAACTAAATGTGTTCCTGGTATTGATAATTCATGGCTGTCCTGAATGGCTGTCTTTATTGTCATGTGAATGTAATACGGTAATACATGATAAGGTGAGCTGCAGAGGCTTGGCATTATTTCTTCCTAGAGGTATAGTGATCTTGGAGTTCCCTCGTTTTTGGATAGTATTGAAGACAGAATTTGAATCATTGTAAACATTTCTAGTCGGCTTAGCTCACAAGACTCAGCATGGTTATTGAAATCACATCAGAATCTTCCATACATACTTATATTCAAGCTCCTCAGCGATAGCCAGTTCGTGGTGCTCTTTAATATTGCTGCTCCCCTCTGCTAGGTGGCCAAAAACCATGCAAGCTCATCACAGTGTTAGCCCTTGTGGTGCTCTTTACTATCACTGTCACCATTCACAGCTCCTCACTGTGCTAGGCAGCCAACAACCCTGAGTGGAGCAAGCTCATCACAGTGTTAGCCCTTGCAGTGCTCTTTACTATTGCTGTCACAAGTCACAGCTCCTCACTGTGCTAGGCAGCCAACAACCCTGAGTGGACGCAGGCTCATCCCAGTGTTAGCCCTTGCGGTGCTCTTGACTATCGCTGTCACCACTCAAAGCTCCCCACTCTACTAGGCAGCCAACAACCCTGAGTGGACGCAGGCTCATCCCAGTGTTAGCCCTTGCGGTGCTCTTGACTATCGCTGTCACCACTCAAAGCTCCCCACTCTACTAGGCAGCCAACAACCCTGAGTGGAGCAAGCTCATCACAGTGTTAGGCCTTGCGGTGTTCTTGACTATCGCTGTCACCAGTCACAGCTCCTCACTGTGCTAGGCAGCCAACGACCCTGAGTGGAGCAAGCTCATCACAGTGTTAGCCCTTGCAGTGCTCTTTACTATTGCTGTCACAAGTCACAGCTCCTCACTGTGCTAGGCAGCCAACAACAATGCATGGAGCAAGTGTTTGGCAGTGCTGTGTGAGGTTCGGGATGCTAGGTTAAGTACCTCTATTGCAAGCACTGATGATAATGTAAGGGATGCTGCACTGGAGAACATTTTATAGGAGATAAAACCTGAGAAGGAAACCTTTCTCTTTTTTCTTTTAATGATATGCTGTCTGTCAGATTATGTGATTGAAGCTCAAGACGTTACCTCAACAAATGTATATGATCATAGCTGTATTCTATTCAACAGGACATTAACTTTAATTATGTCTGCTAGAATGCTGACACAATGCTGAATGGACTGGCATACAGACACGCTGATGTCATGTTGGGCCTTCTACTTTGCATGGGGAGAGATAGTTGTGAAGTAAGATAGTTGTATCGTGTTCTTTCACAATGGCACAGATTTTAAAATGACAAGATCCAAGTTCCCCACCTTAAGACCTGTTTCACAATATGATCATTGTGCTGCAGTGTTAAGTCTATGTTAAAGTATGGGAGTTACAACATTTGTATTGCTAAGATCAACTTGTGAAACGAGACCTTGGATTTCAGTAACTGTTTGGTTACAATTTCTGTCCAGTCAATATGACTGAAATATTTCCTCAGATAAGACTATTCAATATTACTTGATGTAAGAATTCAGGAAAACTGATCACTGATTACAAGGTAGACACAATTTTATGGATAACAACTTCTTTAATACTGTAAAAAGCGACGTTTTGGTATAGATCCTTATACCGTTGTCAAGCAAGACTGAATGAGGGACATAGTAGAGAATAGATATAGTAGGTGGAGGATTAACAGTAACAACAATTGCATACATGAGTGGGATAACATGAGCAAGTGTTGACAACAGAAGGATAATACTGTCACAACACGATGGACAGAGAACACTTTCTCATGTTATCCCACTCATGTATGCAATTGTTGTTACTGTTAATCCTCCACCTACTATATATATTCTCTACTATGTCCCTCATTCAGTCTTGCCTGACAACGGTATAAGGATCTATACCAAAATGTTGCTTTTTACAGTATTAAAGAAGTTGTATCCATAACATTGTGTCTACCTTGTCATTCGTCAACTTCTAAGTAATGCCTATCAAACAATTGATCACTGATTATTTTAAAGCATTGCTAGGTATTGCTCAGTCCCATGAGTTGACTAGTGAAGGGCATATTGGGGCAGCATGGAAGAGATTCAACAGTACAATGCATATTATATATTTCTGTGATAATACAGCTTGTCAGTTTAACTTATACACTGCTTTGCTTGTTGGCTTATTTAGTAAGTTTTTCTGCTAATACCTTAAGCAGTTGTGACCTTAATTACTGATTATGGAAAATGATTTTTTGCATGACACTCACCATCTGATGTTTTACATAAGTTTCTCATAATTACTCCTTCTGTTTATTTGGAGATGATATTGCTGTTTGCTTAAGTCACGTTGGTCTGTTTCATTAATGCATCTCAAGTTGAGACTATTCTGAAAATATTCCTATTTTCTGCTTGTCACTGGTTCCATAGCCTGAAATGGTTTGATAACTGTACCGGTATTTGTTACATCCTCATCCCACCCCATTCTGTGGAAATGTTGCTTACCAGGGCTGCTCAGTAGCTGTTGCTGATGTTGTTAATTTGGTGCTGCAATTAGAGGTGTGATGAAACATGTCACAACAGCATCTGTGGTGTTTCCTGGTACAACGTCATACCATGGTACATAAATGCATGGTGGTGTCTTGTACAACATTGTGCAACATGGTACCATGGTACATGCAGGTGTAGCCTGGTACAACGTCGTACCATGGTACATAAATGCATGGTGGTGTCTTGTACAACATGGTACCATGGTACATGCAGGTGTAGCCTGGTACAACGTCGTACCATGGTACATAAATGCATGGTGGTGTCTTGTACAACATGGTACCATGGTACATGCAGGTGTAGCCTGGTACAACGTCGTACCATGGTACATAAATGCATGGTGGTGTCTTGTACAACATTGTGCAACATGGTACCATGGTACATGCAGGTGTAGCCTGGTACAACGTCGTACCATCGTACATAAATGCATGGTGGTGTCTTGTACAACATTGTGCAACATGGTACCATGGTACATGCAGGTGTAGCCTGGTACAACGTCATACCATGGTACATAAATGCATGGTGGTGTCTTGTACAACATTGTGCAACATGGTACCATGGTACATAAATGCATGGTGGTGTCTTGTGCAACATGGTACCATGGTACATGCAGGTGTAGCCTGGTACAACGTCGTACCATGGTACATAAATGCATGGTGGTGTCTTGTACAACATTGTGCAACATGGTACCATGGTACATGCAGGTGTAGCCTGGTACAACGTCATACCATGGTACATAAATGCATGGTGGTGTCTTGTACAACATGGTACCATGGTACATGCAGGTGTTGCCTGGTACAACATTGTATAACAGAACTTTTATCTTTGATAATTTTGTTTTGGATTTTAACTTCGATTCAACCCCGAAAACTTTTCGTAATTATTTTTGTCTTGCCTCCTGTTATTCATTATTAGCTTCTCAGAAATCGGTAAATCATTAAATCAAGTTGGTCAGAGCTGATGTTGAAGATTTCAAGGACAGTAAGGTTGGAACCAGAAGCATAGTTATAGATTTTAACAAGCTATTATTAGGTTATCAGCACAGCCTGCGGTGCCTTCTTCTGCATGATTTGTGGATGTTCATTGTGTCCATCACAATGTAGCCATGTGATGTATCATCCTTTTGTCAGCTTCATCCCAAGAACTCATTGACTAGATGTAATGTTTCATTGCTATTGATCAGCGATAAGGCCAGACCAAAAGTTTCTGTTATGTAGATGAAGCGATCATACATTTTCAAGCCCAACAATAATATTGTGGTCTGGTCTAATTTTCAAATATATGTTTCATCATTATAACTCAAACGGCATGACACTTGATATTTTCTATCTTTGAAGACCCAAATGGTGCAATACATTTTTTTTTGCCAGCCGTTGCTTTGATCTAGCTCGTCCGAAATCGGGTAGTATTTTGTGTCCATGATTGTAGCTGATTAAAGATCAACATGAGATTAATTATTGCAACTTTCAACGATCGTGATTGCCAATGTAAGCTGGAAAATTTGATGATTACATGGTGAAAGGAAGACCCACTAGATATACTTTCAGTTGGCTAATTGTGCTCTCTATTGCTATGCAAGAAATACAATGATGACATTACGATAACTTCATGTTTTTGATACTGCTTGATCTTCTTATACCACTCAAAATAAGTTAAGGACCAGCTGGTTCTGTCATATTGCTATAGTTAATCTGTTATGCCATCACAGATGAAGTATAGTAATATGAAGGCGTTCGGTGGTCCTTACATTCGAGTAGTATAGATTGCCCTGTTTCTACAATTGACTGCTTCTGGCAATGTTAAACGCTGCCTCTTTTTGTACATAGTGTGTGTGATAAAATCTGATGTTTAAGCCCATTTTGACTTGGGTAAGGTATAAAAACATCCACAAAAACAATGACATTAGACAAGAGTTGTCTACCGGTACTTTCTGTCCTAAGATAAACACTTCAGGATGTTTGAAAGAGGAACCGTGACGTTAACGAACATGCATTTGGGGAATGTTCTGGTAGGATATTTAAGGGTGTCAAACCATAATAAGATACCTCTAAAATAGGCGTGTTTTGGCTATATTGAATATTTACACAGGTTTTTTGAAAATGTGGTATTGTATGCTCAGAATGGTTAGATATCAGATTTCTTCATTTTTGTGAAGTGTCATCGATCTGTGAAGTAGAGAATGTTTGAAAATGAACTTCCATCTTGGCAAGTCATTTACGATAGGGGAACATTTTAAGGAAGCTTGTGATAATTCTGAAAACTTAAATCTTGGTAGATGCTTACATTGTCTGGAAAGACCTGGATCCCTACTGACAATTTGAAAATATACATTCGCAAAGTTGGAATTTGATTTTTCTCTATTTCTTTGAATAAATATGCAAACTGTTGCTATGTACACTTTTCAGAGAATGATGTGAAAAGGTAGACGACATAATGATCTATGAGTTGTTGCTTTGAATTTTCAGACTATACCAAGTCACAAGTTCAAAGGAAATGGGCACCTGTAATTGTGACAGCCAAATATTGTGTTTTGAAAACTTGCCACATGGTAACGATAGGGGTGTTGATGATGTGATACACATTGCGATGGGACATATCTAGCTACTTGACACTGAAAGTGAATACAGGAAGCGTTCAAGGTGTATTCAACTGGATGTGGACAAGTTTAGGATCTTTTCAAAGTGTAAGCAGCATCTAAGGTCCCATGACTGGCTGTGCAGAGTAAACTCCCTTTAATACCAGGATCAGCTGGTCTTGGGTTCAAATCCCAGTTTACAATAACCTGTTATTCAGCATGTCTGTGTAAGTTTCGCAAGGAGCAATGGTCCATAATCCATTTGATCGTAAGGTCGAAGAGACCACTGGTGAACACTGAGGTAATTTATTTGGAGATATCATTTATGATAACTGTTAGAACTATCAAGGCTTACTGCACCACAGGATTGTTTGTATTAAGTTGGTGAATGTACCACAGGATAGTCCAGTATGTATCAAGTCAGTGACTGTACCACAGGATAGTCCAGTATGTATCAAGTAAGCGACTACCACAGGATAGTCAACTATGTATCAAGTCAGTGACTGTACCACAGGATAGTCCAGTATGTATCAAGTCAGTGACTGTACCACAGGATAGTCCAGTATGTATCAAGTAAGCGACTACCACAGGATAGTCCAGTATGTATCAAGTAAGCGACTACCACAGGATAGTCCAGTATGTATCAAGTAAGCGACTACCACAGGATAGTTAATTCTGTCATATCAGCGACTGTGTATCACTGTATCATTACCCCCTATCGTGGATGCCGACAGATGCGGAGCGTAGTTGTTGTTTTTCTGGTGACTGCGAGAGTGTGGCCGTACATGTATTTTTACATGACTATTACCTGTATTGTTACAGCTGGAGTAGACTGTAGATATGCCATCATGTTTTATGGATCTGCATTGGCCAAAGGTTTTGTAGATTATTGAAGTTATTTATGTTGATTGTACATACTGTAAGTAGTAGTGACTATCGAGTTATGATAAAGATATACACATATACATATATATATATATATTATGATACAAGCGCATAGCATGAACTCCATTCCTGTTGTTTGCAGCCTACAATGTCAACGGTTGTCGCGCCCAAGTGTTGGCAGGGATAACAACTGCAATCACTGATGTTCACATAATCGGTTTGAATGATATGTCATTGTCTCATTGCAGAACTTTGTGTTCAAAGTTCATCGTCATAGCCATTAAAACCAAAACCTCTCAAAATGAATCTGGTGTTGTGTTCTTTATGGATAATGCTGGAGTTAGGGTCAGAAGAAGTTCCCAGGCCACGATGTGAGGTGATTTGGAAAAACCCGTGAAGATTCTGGGAAGAATAGGTCTTCAGCAACCCATGCTTGTCATAAAAGGCAACAATGCTTGTCATAAGAGACGACTAACAGGATTTGGTGATCAGGCTCGCTGACTTGGTTGATGCATGGCATTGTATCCCAGTTGAGTAGATCGATGCTCATTACGTCAATCACTGGATTGTCTGGTCCAGACTCGATTATTTACAGACCGCCGTCATATGGCTGGAATATTGCTGAGTGCGGCGTTAAACAACACACGGCTGGGGATCAAACCCCTCAACCTCGCGCTCCAGGATTCTCTATCCACTGGAAGATGTAGGTAGTCCCTTGCTGTAAGTGGAATTGTCTATCAGATGAGGGCCATCAGGCTCACTGACTTGGTTTATTGTGTGTCATACTCCAACAGCATGGGCAAGGGCTGGATTCTCTGGTCCAAATTCCTGACAAAATCTGTGCATTTAAATATTTAGAATATATGTTAGAAGTGCAGATACCGAAACCCTATAAGAACTCAAAGATCAAACATTTCAAAATTCTGTTTGCTCGACAGTTGCACTTCAAAAACCCACCTGAACATTGGGCTTACACAAGTGACCAGAAAAATTACCGAAAAACATGTTATGATCTGCAGAGCTAGCACTATGCAGGGATGAAATGGATATTTTCCTTTTCAGCCAAAGCTTCTTTGCAATGGAGTGTGGTCCATAATTTGTGGGTGTTTAGGTGGGGGGGTGGGGTGAAGCCATGAGATTTTGACAAATTTGTGGTCACTAAAATTTGTAAGATTCTCACCCCTGAATATGTTAAATGTTCACAATAATGTTAAATGTTGGTGGTCAGTTGCACATGATCGGCATAGATACCAAAAAATCTGCAAAAGTCATACGATTTTGAATAAAAAATCGCAGTAAAGTTTTGTTCTGTATTTGGATTGTGCTCCATAGGGTTGTGTAACCTGGAGTGAGCGAGTTGGTCTTCACACTGAGTCTTCAGTTATATCCACATATCAGGAGTGATGCATTTACCACCTTGATGACACCCATCAGGACCGTCTTCCCGAGGCAAGCATGTCCACTAGCCTATATCAAAGCCTAGTTTCTACCCTTGCTACATCAAGGCCATTTTCTTGGCTCGACCCTGGCGCCACCTCGCATGGATCCAGAGTTGTGCCCCTTGTAATGAAAATGCGATATCCAATCAGATCGCTGTTATCTCGTATAGCTTCGCAAAGATGGCGACTACCATAGAAAATGACCTAGTTGATCAGATAACGAAAACATTTGCATGTTCATCCCTGATCAAAAGATGATCAAGACATATTCAGGCAGTGGTAAATCACTTTTATAAGAAGGTGTACCAGTCGTGTTGATTTTATGAAACATTCTGATAGGACTATCAATATGTCCAATCATATTTAGCACAGGAAAGTGGGCTTGATCTGGCAATGGTTGAAACAAGTCTTTGATGAAAAGGCTAGTGGATACTCTTGCCTCGGGATGATCAGCAACGACAAACTAGGAATCTTAACAGGGATTCAAACTCACATTCATGGGATTCTGGCACGCCTAAGAACTATAACTTGTTGCAACTTAGACAACTGGACCCACATGTATTCTTTGACCTTTGAGGAGATCATAACAATATGTGTACGAAATAGAGCAAAAAGCGTCTGTAGCTCACCTGAATTATTGACTGATTCTGTGAGCAATTATTCAAGTCAACATAGCTGTCTCACTGCCTCTGAAGACCCATGGAGATTCTAGGTAAGGTGAGGTGAAATGGGGTTTAACATCGCGTCCAAGATTATTGCACTTCTAAATAGCGACGTGCATGCACGTGTGTGTGTGTGGCTGCTTGTACTAGTCCGGACTGATGCTGATTTATAGTGCTAGCTCACTGAGATACCATGCCGCAGTTTAACATGAATACCCCACTCAGACACAGTATACTGACTCCTAGCCGACCAGTCCTTGTTTTAGCCCCTTAATGCCGAGCGCCAGAGAGGGTAACAACAAGTACCATCTTTTAACGCCTTTTGGTATGACGCGGTCGGGGATCGAACCCCTGACCTTCTAGTGGGCGGACACTCTACCACTAGACCACGGAGGCGGTCAGGTTCTAGGTAAGAATCCATCAGTCTATGCTTGTCATGAAAGGTGACAAAACAAATCTGGTTGGTCAGTGACTTGGTTGATGTCATCATATCCCAATAATTGTGTAGATCAATGCCCATGATGTCATCAGTGGTTTGGCTGTTTCAGACTTGATTGTTCACAGATCGCCGTCATATAGCTTGATCATTGCTGAGTGTGGCATTTTGTTTGTTTGTTTGCTGTTTTTACGCCTCACTCAGCAATATTCCAGCTTTATGACCGCGGTCTGTAAATAATAGAATCTGGACCAGACAATCCAGTGATTGACATCATGTCCACACAATTGGGATCAATGACATGCATCAACCGCATTAGCGAGCCTGACCATCCGATTCTGTTAGTCGCCTCTTACGACAAGCATGGGTTGCTGAAGATCTATTCTACCCCGAATCTTCACAGGTCGAGTGTGGCATTTTGAAAAAAAAAATACAGCTCCTAAAAAGTCAACAACCAAACAAATGAGTAGTTCAGATAGATTATGTTTATTTTTGGCCTTTATGACTTATACGGATAGACAACATATTCATCAACAACACACACTGACTTTACAATGATTATATTATCAATATTTCTGTGAATCATATTACTTTATGTACACATTTGATGACAATAATACTGAAAACATTGAAACCCAGAGAGTGCAAGGTCATGTTTAAAAATTCAAGAGAATCACATATGCTAATGACTTACCGCTGAAATGAAAGGAAAGCTGTTAAAGAGAATACATTCAATATTTCAAATACTGTCACTGCGGTATTGGCAGCATGACAAGAACATCTTTACAAAACCCTAAATGTGATTTCAAACAAATGTTTGCAATATTGAATTCTGCCACCATCACTGCTTTGAACTTTATACTAGATATATCTGGTGTGATGGTTTAATGTGAGAGGAAAGCCTGAGATCTGAGTCTTTTAGATAAAACACATGAGCACGGGTATGGTGAGCAGATTTGATGCCACTTTTAGCAATATTCCAGCAATATCACGGCAGGGGACACCAGAAATGGGCTTCATACATTGTGTGGAGGCTCGAACCCGGGTCTCCAGCCTGACGAGCGAATACTTTAACCATGAGCCTACCCCATGTCCTTACAGGTTTGTTTGTTTGTTGTTTAACACCGCACTCTGCAGTATTCCAGCTATATGACGGCGGTCTGTAAATAATTGAGTCTGGACCAGACAACCCAGTGATTGACATCATGAGCATCGATCCACACAATTGGGATATGATGACATGCATTAACCAAGTCAGTGAGCCTGACCACCCGATCCCGTTAGTCGCCTCTTACGACAAGCATAGTTGCCTTTTACAGCAAGCATGGGTTGCTGAAGACCTATTCTACCCCGGATCTTCACAGGACAGAACCAGAGTGAGAGAGTATGGTTATATGCCATCTTGAGCAGTACTCCAGCCATCACTACAGGGCACCACATGGAGAATCAAACCCAGGCTTTCAGCGTGATGAATGCACACTTCAACCATTAGACTACCCCACTATCAGGAAGAATGAAAACAAATGTGTTTTTATTAAAAACTAGTTATCACTGGTTTCTCAGAAAACAACAAAAACAACTTTTAAATCTTTCAAATTAATGTTCAGCTACTGCCGATACCGACTGGGTAAAACAATGGAGAATCTGTGAACTCTGAACACCTCCTTCTGAAACAGTTCTATCTCCATCTAGTCAAGAGATTATCATCAATTTCCTCTTAAAACAAGGGATATCATGAGGGATATATAAACAATTGCTGCCATTTTGAATATAGCCTTGACAAAAACATACACAATCATCCAATCTCTACAATTAAATTCCATGGGGACGATGACGTTTCATAAGTTAATAAGCTACAAAAGTATCAAAATAATTCCTTTTAACCAGCAAAATTTTTATACATACTTCCGAAACAACTGTCAACCAAATTAATGAACAATAACAATATTCTTGATTCAAAATTTGAAAACGGAACAAAAGAAAATTCTGGAATGCCGAGGTTCTATGGCAGTACTTCCCAGGTCTAAGGAAAGTATCTTCCGTTTGAAATGTTTATCAAATTGAAGCGCAAGAAAGACGATTAAGATGGAAAAAGTTTAACAGCCCATAACTGTTGTTCAGAATACCCTGTGTTAAGGTTTTCTAGGGGGCATGATTAGATTTTTTGTTTGTTTGTTTGTTTGTTGTTTAACGCCGCACTCAGCAATATTCCAGCTATATGACGGTGGTCGGTATGATTAGAAAACACATGGTAAGCGATGCCCTAAATGGTTGGATGAAAGGTCGTTCTGACGTGACCCGTAATGGATGTCTTCAGATCTTTGTTTAGTGGTAGCGAGCACAAAGATCTGTTGTTAATGAGAATGTGAAACTTAAAAAAAAATTTAAAATATTAACACAAATTGGTCTGGCTGATATAAGTATTATTTTAACAAAATTTGCCTTATCAAATATAAAATTAAAAAAATCACAAAAAGGATGTTGAACTGAGACAGATTAGTTGTGTTTCCAAATTCTGAAATATGCACAAAGACAAAACATAACATGTGAAGCGTTCCGGTAGCAATCTGTCAGGTAAGTGGGCTAAAACAAACCACTTTCTGGCCAAACTTTGTTCAGAGACACCTGATTTGTTTTACACCATATTGATTAGGCCATCTAATACTAGCTTCCGGGAAACTATATCAACCCTGACTATACAACGATAACATATTCAGTGGCTATATCAGAATCATAAACAACAATGACAACAAGATTCCATAAGGAAAACAAAATTATAAAATTATTCATAAAATAAATATTTTTCTAACTAAAAATAGAGCCATGAGCTTAGAAGCTCAACTGACATTGTAGGTCTTGCAAATTGTTTCTAATTTCTAAAATATTATATGATTACATTTAAAATCATTTGAACTAAAATTTCATCCAGCATTTATTGGTAAGCACTGAAGTGTTTCATGTTGTGTGACTTTGAGAGTATTGTCATTAAATCATTGACTGTCTTATCCAATGGCTACAATCACCAATGCTTTAACAAGCTTTATGAACGTTTAGTTCATTTGAGCTAAAAATGAATTCCCTCTTTAGTGATCAGTTAAATAAATATTTACCAATGACTATCGAACAGTGATGGAATGATAATGCACTAAAAATATTTCATAGGCTGCAGAATTTCAAATAAATGAAGATATTGCACTGTAATAATGAAAAATAACTTCAGGATTTAACCAAAAAGTGTCAATTGGCACACTAATTTTCGACAAGTATGCCACCTGAATGACACAGAATAATTCAAATCATTTCTACTTCACGGTCGCCACTCCTTCCTGTGCAAACCAATAAAAATATCTCATTGCAGCAACTGATACTTCATTTTCCTGTGAAATAATAATTTCCATATATGATACACGTTTCTAAGAAAAGCTATTGCCCATGACATATTTCTTCTGAGAAATCAAGAAGCGAAATAATTTTTTTGTTATTCCTATGCATGGGCAGTCCAATGTTCAATGCTATTATATATAGCATTGGCACATCTATAGTCTTAAAACCTTAAAGACAAGTCAGTTAAATCTCTACACCACCAGAAACAATATCCATGGACCGCCTATCAAGCTGCATCTACCCGAGGCAAGGGAGTTAACTGACTGTAAAAGTCCAGTTTCCTCCCTTGCCGAACTAGGCTGGGATTTCTGGGCTCAATCGTAGCTCCATCAGTGGCTGTTACAAGTTATGCCTCTTCTTTGTCCCTCTTTTTGACCAAACAGATTCCACCTCTAATACCACTTGCATTTGCTTCAAAGAAAACGATCTGATCGGTACTCAAGATCTACATTGTAATTAAATGAGTCTTACTTCGTGAAATGCGTCAAATCAGGTGAGCACCTTCATTAAAAACATGAACAGATTTGGAAAATATTTGTTGATGCCGAGTTGGCGGTATACATGCTTTGCAAATCCTACAATCGATCTGTATGGCAGTTTACGAACCGGATGTCGATTTCGTAACACGATTATGATTGGACTATGCATAGACTCGTTAGTCCAGCAAAAATATAACAACATTATTATAGAAACATAATCGGGCCGAACATTGTTTCGAACAGACAATCATAGGTTTCTGGCGTGCCCAAGGGACGCCACTCTGCATAGTGGGCACTCATGCTCTCAAGCTTAAACAGAATGTGACATTCCTCATTAGTCAGCACCATGGGAACCAAGTCTATCCCAGAATCCCCCTGGCATTAGCACCGTCTCCTTAGGCCAAGGTTACGGTATTCATAAGAGCCACCTCCATAATTGACGCCTAGTTTGGCAAGGGTGGAAGTTCATAGTAGTGAGTGAGTGAGTGAGTATGGTTTTACGCCGCTTTTAGCAATATTCCAGCAATATCATGGCAGGGGACACCAGAAATGGGCTTCACACATTGTACCCATGTCAGGAATCAAACCCGGGTCTTCGGCGTGACGAGCGAACCCTTTAACCACAAGGCTACCCGACCGCCCCTCGGAAGTTTATTAGTAAGTTAATTCCCTTGCCTCAGGAAGATGATCAAGCTGTGGAAGATGATGGGATCCAGTCACTTATAACACTGTTACAAGACCAAAGTGAAAACGCCTCCAAATTCAATACACATGATCCAGTCAAAGATCACCACCTTGCTCTACTGAGCAAAATCATTAATTTATTCAAATTTCAAAAGCAAAATATATACGAGATAATTAGACCAGGGTGCTGTTGTACAAAGCGATCTTAGCACTTAGGTGATTGTAACTCCCATACCTGAACATAGACTTACAGCAGTCGTAGCGCTAAGGTGATTGTAACTCCCATACCTTAACATAGACTTACAGCAATTGTAGCGCTAAGGTGATTGTAACTCCCATACCTTAACATAGACTTACAGCAATTGTAGTGCTAAGGTTGTTTTGTACAAGGACACTCTGGAATATAGGCTGTCCCGAAGATCACTGTTCCCCACATATTGTCTCCACTATTCCAGCCACAAGTCACATTTCATACTTGTAAGAGTTCACAATATAATCAATATGCCAGTAAAAGTAATCGTTATAAAATTAATTAAAATACAAGAGCATAAAAATCAAACATAATGCTTATAACTCACTACTGGTACATACATTTTCTCCAATATCAAATCAAACATATTTCTCCGCAATCTTTGACACAAGTGAAAATTCCTGAATATAGTTTTCTTGGCACTATGTCACAGTGTGGTCAAAACACGAGTGAGTGAGTGAGTTAAAATTTATAGTCATGTCGGCAGTATTTCAGCCATATCATGACTAAATCATGTTTTCGGTCAAGCACGACAGTAAGGGAGCAGTCCAATAGTTGAATGTAGAATACGTTTTCAGACATTCCACCAATCCAAGAAATCTAATTGCAAAATTCCTCTAAGAGCTTCTTTCGTCAAGTGAATCTAACTTTGCAATGATTCAGAGGTTGTTGTGAGGCAGAGCTGGAGATGTCAAATGAGAGTCTTTTTTACTTACTTGTTTATACCTGTCTTAGCATTGCTGTCCATTTGCAGTGTAAAAATGTGAAAAATAGAGTGAGTGAGTGAGTGAGTTGGGTTTAACTGCCGTTTTAACATTATTCCAGTCATACTGCGGTGAGTCAGCTTAATGTGGGAGGAAAGCCCAAAGTGATGCAGGTCTCCGACGTTTACCACTTCGCTGAAACCCACGAGCACGGGCATGGTGCTGACAAACCTAGAAACATAATCGGGGCGAACCGGGATTCGAACCAACAATCATCGGTTTCTGGCGTGCCCAAGGGGCCCAACTCTGCACAGCGAATGTGAAAAATAGAGCTGTTATTTATTGATTTGAACTGTATATCACTGGAAAGTTAACTTGATATAAAATCATGACCTTTTTACCCACACAACCCCAAAGTTAAGGAATTAAGATTTTATCGGACATCAAACTTTTGAACTGCTCCCTAAAAGTCAAAGTTCAAGAAAACAGGTTTCAGTCAGTTGAACAACAGCTTAACGAGAGTCGACATTCTGACTTATTTACAAAAGAGTTCAGATTTAGCCATGTCTGAGCACCTTTGATCCCAAATGTTTCCATGAATCTTAAAATGTTTTTGTTAGTAAATTTGGTTTAATGCCGCTTTTAACAATATCCCATTACACCATGGCGTGTGAGCTTGATGTGGGAGGAAAGCCCTAAGTGATGCAGGTCTCAGACGTTTACCACTTTGATGAAACCCACAAGCACAGGTATGGTGCTGACAAACCCAGAAACATAATCAGGGCAAACTGGGATTCGAACCCATGATCACAGGTTTCGGGTGTGACTAAAGGACACAACTATGCACAACGAATAGCAGAGCATTAGATGACTGGGCCACCCGTGCCCCCCTTAAAAAGTTTTAAATGAGAAACATTCTGCAACAAATGAATATCATTTCTGTCCCTGATTAGTTGTAAGTTGCCCACCAATCCTACTTCAACTTCCCTTTCGGAGACACCACCACAACTGTACTTGCAGCAGATATGTTGATCCTGTGGGCTGGTTTGGGGGACTTTACAGGTTTAGATACATAACTCATATGAAACGTCTTCTTCGTACTCGAGGCTTTCTTCAACAGCCGTAACTTCCTACCCGACGAGTCCACAGACTTATTGTACTCTAAGCACAGACCATCATCCTTTGAAGTTGTTGCTCTGAACCTTTCGTGACCGGTATCCAGCCTTGACGCCTTCTGAGGACTTCGATAGTTAAAGTTATATACAATACCTTTGTCAACCGATTCATCACGGTTTAAATTTCGAGGAGATATTTTGCGTGACTTTTTGGGAGTTTCGTAGGAATCGGACGCTACTAAAGTCTTGTCTAAATCCTCATCCTCTTTCACAGTATCCAACTGTCTGTGGGGACTGCAGTATGGGCTCTTGTTCCTCATCCTTGGGGTGCCCACCTTGTTGCTGGGCAACACAAGAGGGGTACTGCAGGTCTGCCCGCTGAGCCTTCTCTCACAGGCAGTCTGGAGGAAGCTGTCACAAGCCTCGCCCCAGGAAGAATTGGAAGCCTTGTCTGGAGAAGGGAAGAATTGGGGAAACCACAAATTGTCAATATCGTCTTCACCCTGATTTTTCTCAGAGTCGTTTCTGTGTTCGTCATCTTGGTCAGGTTCATCCATGACCCACTCTCGCGTAGAATCGTCGCTCATATCGACTTCGGACACTTCTTCGTAAGTCAAGTCTGATGGAAGTCTGGAATCGGACTCCTCTTTCTGGAAGCCGAGAAATGGTTGTGTGTCTCCCTCGCTCTCCAATAGTTTCGACATGCTTCTTTCACTGAGAATCAACCAACTACGATTTAGTTTTACCGTCTTTCTCCTCGAGCTTGGTTTTGATTGACGCCATTTTCTTTTGCCTCTCGTTTCCTTTTTCTTAGGTGATGAGCTTTTCCTTCTTTTAGGACTTTTCTCAGTGGACGTTGACCTAGATTTCTTTAGAGTCTCATTTGGAGAAGGTGGGACACTAGCACTGGCAGCATTTTCACCATATTCAAATGGCTTGTTTCGTGTTGACCTTGACCTTGACCTTGGAGAGTCACTGATTTTGGAACACTTTCTTTCTGTTGACTTGTCTTCAGACATGTCCTGGTAAGATTCATCAGACTTCCTGGCTCTTCTTGACCTTGACGGCGAACAACACATCTCAGTATCACTAGTACGTGACCTTGACATCATGACCCTTTTCACAGGGGTCGTTTCAGGGACATATTTAACATCTTTTTCCCCTCTTCTGTCTTCACCATCACATACAGTCTCATCCACCAAGTTGGACCTCAAACTTCTCCAAGATCTATCTCGCCGCCTGGGCGTTGTACAATAACCACTCTTTGGTGTGTCCACCTCTGTTCCACCCTCCTCATTTTCAATGTCACCTTTTTTATAAAACTTTTCTCTCTTGGGAGTTTTCAACTCCAGTTCAACAGACTCAGGATTTTCCTTGACATCATGGCACAGGTCCTTGATAGAGTGTCTTGACCTTCGTTTGAACACAGGAGACTGAGACTCGCCCTGTTCGGGCATAGCCTTCTTTCTTGGTGTTACATCAGATGTCATGGTGGAGGTACAGGAGTAGTCACTGCAAGAGGTCTCATCCAGCTTCAGCTTGCACAACTTTCTCCCCTTCTTCTGAGGACTTGACCGTACCACCTTCTTCCACTTCTTCCTCTTTGTGAAGACCACCGTCTCGTTATTACAAATCACCATCTCCCCTGCTGTGTCTGCCCTCAACATTTTACTGTCAGCTTTTGTCTTTTCTTGTGAAGGATTTGTATCTTTACTCTTTACATCCAAATCTACCAGAGTCCTGTGTTTTTTTCTTGGCGATGTTCGAGAACTGGTTGAAACTTCAGTAGGCTGGATTTTGTTATCTTGGTTTGGGGATGGTCTTAAAGCCTTTTTAGAGTTTGATCTTCCTTTTGTGGGAGAAAGTTCTATGCTATCTGCCTCGTTTTGTATGAAATCAGAATGTGTTTTTGAGCCATGTTTCTTCATATGCGGGGACCGAGATTTATGAGAATCGATGTGCTTACCACCAGGATTAGAACATTCTACATTCATGTCACTCTTGTTCTGAGCCACGGATTCCTCTCTCGAATCTTTATGCTTCTTTTGTTTCGAACAAGATCTTTGTGCTTCTCTCCCATTACAATCTTTCACAGTCACTTCAGCTTGTGAACCCTTACCACAGTCCCTATCTTTTCTCTTCTTTGAACGAGACCTTTGATCATCCTTCTCTTTAAACTCTTCGACATCTGCTTCATCGTCAGCTTGTGAACCCTTACCACAGTCCCTATCTTTTCTCTTCTTTGAACGAGACCTTTGATCATCCTTCTCTTTAAACTCTTCGACATCTGCTTCATCATCAGCTTGTGAACCCTTACCACAGTCCCTATCTTTTCTCTTCTTTGAACGAGATCTTTGTTCATCCACCTCTGTAGGCTTTTCCACAATTACATCAGCTTCAACCTCAGAATCATTTCCACAGTCACGATATTTTCGTGGCTTGGAGCGAGATTTACATCTGTCTTTTGAGTCAGGATCATCTCCATCCACACGTCCCTGATCATCATGGGACTCAACATGCTCGGATTCACAATAAGAATCTTTCTGCTTGTTCTTCCAAGACCTCCGGCGAGGGCTCCCAGTACTCGTCAGAGACAGCTGCGAGTCAGCAGACTCCATGTCCAGCTTGGAAATCACCACAACACTCTTACTAGACAATTCTATCACATTTTCTGCCCTCATTACAATGTCACTTAACGGACTCATGTTTTCTGTTTGAAATGATAGTCTGTTGCTTTTCCTGGGACTTGTTACTTTACTTTCAATATCAATGTCAAGGCGCTTCCTTGGACTGGACCGAGTGACCCTTGAATGTTCTCTGTCTGGCTTGTCCTTGACACATTTCTCTAGCTGTGAATGTACAATTTTATCACTCACTGCGTCAGACCCACCCTTCTTACCATCAGGCCTGTTACATTTTGACGGTTTAGTCAGTACTACTTCCCCCGACGTGGAATCACCCACTGGAGTCGGGTCTGACTGTCTGTGTCGTTTCTCCTCCTGCACTGGCGAACTGCTAGCACCAGATTTCCGTTTCCTGGATTCTTTTCCACCAGCCTCATCAAACCTGGATGATTTCTCACCATCTCTTACACCTGTGTTTGTGGAATGTCTTTTGAGAAAATCTTTCAAAGGCTGCAAGCTTGCTATTGGCGAGTCTCGAATGATCAATGTTTTTTCCGACCCGGATGCAGATTGTGACCGCCGTGGTGACCCATACAATCCCCTGGACCCCGACCGCCGTATCACAACAGCCGACGTGGACTCCAATTCACAACTTTCTCGACCGACTCTGGGAAAGCTACCAGATCGGGGTTTCCTAGGAGATGAGTGATGATGGTGCTGCCCGTCAAGGACAATCCCTAGTCTAGACTCACACGTTTCAACATTCTTGTTAAGTTTCGTTTTTTCAACAGTGACTTTTTCAATTTTTCGGTCATATTTAAGTCTCCTATTCATCTTGCGTTTTACTCTCAGTTGCTCTGGGGGGAGGTTTGAGGCTCCGCCCTTTTCACTTTGTTTTTCGGAGCATTCTTCAATCAACAAAACCTCTCCATCATCACAGGCTTGTGAGCTGCAACTGGAAAACATATGTCTGGTCAGAAGCAACAGCGATTATTTCATAAAACAACTCACTTGGTTCTCAAGTAATATTATTATCAGGGATGATCAGGGATTGTTTGAAATGTTTACCAAAAGCTCACACCTGATACATATTTGTTTTAAAATACAAACAAAACCTTTATACCAATCCTGTAATTGATTTGTTTGTTTTGGGTCTGTAGTTGGTTTACAAACACTTCGGCCCTAACTTCAAAGTAGGTGGTTGTTTTATTATACTGTAAATCTTGAAATTAACGTGAGCGTGAATTAAATGCGCAAAATGCGAGTGGTCTTTGCTTGCATTAATTAACTTCGCATTTATGTCTCCAAAATGACTATCAACAATATGATGGCCCCACTGCACATTTTGAATAGCGGAATACCAACTTGAAACACAGTTTATTGAGCAGCAGATGTAGACTGTACATAACAACGTAATTCAACTTCTAAGTAATGCCTATGATACAATTTAATGGAATTCAAAGAATAGGAATTACACCATGGGCATTTGCTGTTTGACTGAATTAAGGTAAGAATATGTATCATTCCACTGGGGATGGGCCACATGGGGGGAGTCGCATTGATATTGAGTCGCATTTTTGTCTAGGGGTCAGCAGTCAAATTAATTTGGAGACGCATTAATTTCCAGATTTACAGAATTTAATTTCAACTTCCAGCCAGATCAGTGTTGCTTTTTCACTTTTTCAGTCAACCAACACAACTTTTTCCTACTAGGGACTACAACTCATTCCTTCAGCTGTTTCAGAGAAGAAATCTAAATTTACAAACCCCATAAAAGATCACAGGATTTTCTATTGTCCCATCCAGTCAAAAAGAGAATTGTATTATTCTATACTACTTCACGTACTCTTTGTTTCTGTTGGCAGCCTTTTGCACGCAGTGTCGGAGCAGGATCCGCTGTAGAAATGAGACAGTGTTGGGGCCTTTGTGGATCAGTGTATCTATGCAGTCAAAATTCTTCTTGTTCCGTGCAAAGTTCTTGTGTTGAAGTCCTCTCATATGCTGTGGAAAAAAATCCAATAACATGATACCAGAGTGGTCCTGGAATGAGGGAATGTTGTTTAATGCCACATCCGGCAATATTTAAGCTATATCATGGCGGTATATGATCAAGTTTGGACAAGGCAAACTCCATCGTCCCAAGGCAAGAAAGTTAACTGACTTTAATAGTCCAGTTTCTACCCTTGCCGAACTAGGCTGGAATTTCTGGGCTCGATCGTAGCGTCATCAGTGGCTATTTCGAATTATGTCCCTTCTAAGTACCCCGCAACTGACCAATCAGGTTCCACCTCTCATATCACTTGCATTTGCTTCAAATAAAATGGCGGCGCCCAGTCAAGACGATCTCATCGATAAGAAAGATCTTTATTGTAATAAAATGGATTTTACCTCACGAAGGGCATCAATCACTTGAGCACCTTGATTTAAAACATGAACAGATTTGGAAAATATTTGTCGATGCTCTGCAAATCCTGCAAATTCGGCATGGCAGTGTCATGTTGTTTATGAACCACACTCGCTAGTCCAGCAATAATATAACTCCATTATTCCCCCCGAGTTCAGCAAGGGTGGAAACTGGACTTTAAAGGTCAGTTAATTGCCTTGCCTCGGGAAGATGGGCAAACTAGTGGATGCAGGTCTCTGACGTTTACCACTTTGATGAAACCCATGGTTTCTAACAAACCTAGAAACATAATCGGGGCGAACATTGTTTCGAAACCCACAACCATTGGTTTCTGGCGTGCCCAAGGTACTCATCTTCCCGAGGCAAGAGCGTTAACTGACTTTACAAGTCCAGTTTCCACCCTTGCCGAACTAGGCTGGAATTCCTGGGCTCGATCATGGGGCCACCAGTGGCTATTACGAGTTATGTCCATTTTATGCCTCTCCCATATGGACCAATCAGATTCCACCTCTTGTATCACATGCATTTGCTTCAAACAAAATTGTGGCTCCCAGTCAAGACGATCTGATCGACCATCAAGATCTATTTTTGTGATAAAACGGTAACTACTTCGCGAAGTACATCAAATCACATGAGCACCTTGATTAAAAACATGAAAAGATTTGGAAAATAACTGTTGACAACGAGTTGGCGATACACATGCTTTGCAAATCCTGCAATCGCCAGAACTCTGCATGACAGTTTACGAACCGGATTTCAATTTTGGTGCGCAATTTTGATTGGACTATGCATACACTCGTTAGCCCAGCCAAAATGTAACTCCATAATCCCAGCCTAGTTCGGCAAGGGTGGAAACTGGACTTTTATAGTGAAAGGGAAGATGAAGGTACTCAACTCTGCACAATGGGCATGAATGTGACGATCCTCATTTGTTGGCACCATGCAAACCAAGCCTATCCCGGAATCCCTCTGGCATTAGCACCGTCTCCTTAGGCCAAAGTTATGGTATTCGTAGGAGTTGCTGAGTTTGGTTTTACGTCGCTTTGAACAGTTTGTTTGTTTGTTAGTTGTTTACCGCCGCACTCAGCAATATTTCAGCTATATGAGGGAAGTCTGTAAAATAATCGAGTCTGGACCAGACAATCAAGTGATTGACATCATGAGCATCTATCCCTGCAATTGGGATTGATGACATGCATCAACCAAGTCAGCAACCTGACCACCCGATCCCATTAGTCGCCTCTTACGACAAGCATAGTCGCCTTTAACGGCAAGCATGGGTTGCTGAAGAACTACTCTACCCTGTATCTTCACGGGCGTGGTTCATGAAGACATAATATTAGGTTGCATTTTACAATAGGTTGCACTTGTGCATTTCTTTCACATAGCTAAATTGAGCCCGATATGTTTACAACACATAAACAAAATATAAACACAAATAACATCCAGCTTACTTTATCCACATCATCATATTTTTCTTTGCAACATTCGCAGTATCCCTTCCGCTTGTTCTCCCGCTTCCGTCGCTCTCGCTCTCGCTTGATCTCCCCGGCTGTCACAATCGGCACACCAAACATCTTGCAGTTACTGGGCTCGTCTAGCTTAGCCGTCTTACTGGAAATAGTCCAGTTTCCATTCAACTAAAAGTACTTATACATATATTAGGATACTTATATACTTGACAGTCTACACAGGGATAGATATTAACTTTGATTTGTTTGCTTGCTATTTAACGCCGCACTCAGCAATAATCCACCTATATGACGGAGCAGAGCAATAACATTTAAATAAAAATTCTTTGCTACAGACTGATCAGAAGAATGCCTTTGATTGATCAATGGTTCGCATGGTGAGAAATTCTACAACACATCGAAAGTCGATTCTGTGGTGTAGTGGACAGGGGCCTGTATGGAGAGTTGAAGTTCGATCTCTCGTGTGTGTGTGTGCGTGCGCGTGTGTGTGCATGCATATGGAAGAAAAGCCTCAAGTAATGCAGTTCTTACAAGCAGTTAAACACACAAACATGGGCACAGTGATGAAAACAAGAAAAACATAATCAGGGGGTATCTGGGATTCGAAACCATGCCAAAGGATTCTCGCACATCAAAACGATGGAGCTCTGACCAGCAAATCCTGAAAAAATCCATGTGTCCATGAACACTTGTGGAATCCAGTACCTACACCCACCTCTGTGACTTAACCTGTTGAGCCCCGGACAGATCATCTCTCTGGGCTTGTGGGGTCCCTGGGGACAGGACGTTCCCCACCCCCACCGCCTCCTCCCGGTCACCCCTCTCCGAGTTCTGAGGCCTCCCTAGAGCCCGCCCGTCAAACGGGCAAGTTCCTTGTGGTGTCTCCGTGTTGAAGTGAGGCCATGTCTTCAACTGTTGCATGATGGGACGATAGTGACAACTCTCCGCCTCAAACTTTACGTAGGGAGTCTTCAATCTTTGAACTGCAAGGACGCACATGAAATGACAGATTAACAAAAGTAATATGAAAGGATCGAGGATGTCCTTAACTTATTTTGAGTAGTATATGTTAAGGCATCCCATGGACTAGTTGGACTTTTTCAGCAGCATCCTTATATGTCATCATTATTTGGGCTTGTTAATGTTACAGGTTAATTTCTGCTGCTGCTACAAAAATTTCAACAGGCTTAAACAATGTGTAATTGAGCAAGTTTGGTTTACAGCCGCTGAGTATTTCAGTACTATCACAGTGTGTAAGCTTGATGGGAGAGTAATAGCCCCAAGTGATAGGCACAAAGCGTTTGCCATTTCAGGACTTTATCTGGACATGCTCGGAGGTCGGTATTTGTCCCAAGTCTTAAGTAAATGTCAGTAAGAGTTCCCAAATTGGAGTAAGAAAATTAATAACTTCCCACTTCACATTAAGATTCATGTTATGGCTTTGTTGAGCTGACAAAGACAAAGAGGCTTTAATGCTCAGTTTAACATTATCAAACAGAATGCAATGTTAAAATAGCCCTGAATTTAGGAAAATTGTAAAAAATCCCAAATTTAGAGTTCGTTCCCAATTTGCCTGATAAGAGTAAGCGTGGAATCCTGGATAAATCCCTGCATTTTGGTATGGTGTTGGCAAACCTAGAAACATAATCAGAGCAAATCTTGGATCTGAACCCATGATCATATGTTTCTGGCATGCCTATAGGGGCTAAACTCTACACAACGAATTCAGCATTTGAAGCTTGTATGAGTCCCGTAGTCCTTGCCAAACTGCCTTATAGTTAAGGAATCATAAGGACTAGTAGAAAATGTTGCTATATGTTATCATTATATGGACTAGCGGACTTAAAATGTTAGTTTCTACCGCTGCGAATTGCTGTAGACAAGTGGGTCACCCAGTATGCCTAAACAAGGCACAAACACAACACAAAGACACAACTGAGGATGAAGAATAAACTCACTTTTAGTGCCCCTTCTTCTTGTTTCCTGTGAAACACAAGTGAAGAATTTCATGTTACTTCATTCAGAGCAAATACCAGACATGCAATGAACTAAAACCTCAGAAACATACATCGGGGATGTGAGCAGGTACTCCCCCCAAAAAGAGAAAAACTCTAGGGGAATTTGGGGCATCCACTCCCCCCCCCAACCACCCCAAGAATTTTTTAAAACATTTCATTGCATTTTAAGCATTTCGTGCTAGAAAACGTATGATGTTCGAAAAAGGGATAAAGGATGCTGAAAGCTCTGATCGAAAACAGGACAATCCGCGCAACGGTTGTCCGGAATCACGATAACATTTTTCGAAGTATTTTTTTCAAATCTTTGATTATATCTTTACGAGGAAGATGATTTTTTCCGAAGACTACTGTTTTAAAAAACGTGATTTTCCACGTTTCCGAGGAGATTTCACATCCCTGATATATGGTAAAATCCTGTGAAGAGTACAAGGAAGAGAAAACATCAGGCACTCGACAATACCTGTGATACAATTTCCCAGTGTCACAAATGTCCATTGGGCCAGTGAAAATTTCATGAGTGAATCGGGACTTCACTTGGATCTATCTATTTTCGAGTTCATAGAATTCTTAACAATACCCCTTATGGTAAAAGACAGGAACACAGAGATTGTGGGATGGATTCATGTGACATAATAGCAAGCTTCACTTGATTTCCAAGAATAAGACTGATGTCATATCCACAGTAACATTCACATGCTCAGAAGCCTTAACCCTATTAGGGCACGTGAAGATCCGGGGTAGAATAGGTCTTCAGCAACACATGCTTGCCGTAAAAGGCGACTAACTGGATTGAGTGGTCAGATTTGCTGACTTGGTTGATGCATGTCATCAATCCCAATTGCAGGGATCGATGCTCATGATATTAATCACTGGATTGTCTGGTCGAGCCTCGATTATTTACAGACCGCCATCATATAGCTGGAATGTTGCTGAGTGCGGTGTTAAACAACAAACAAACTATGTATGCGAACCTTATAATGATGCGGGCGTTAGTCAACTCTTACAACAAGCATAGTCGCCTTTTACGGCAAGCATGGGTAGCTGAAGACCTATTCTACCCCGGATCTTCACCGATCACACTACATAAACAAGCATACAAACTCCTATTGCCGCCATGACCATAACACGAGATGCACAGTAAAGCACAGCGCATGTAAAGGGAAGTAACTGTGTGCTGTATTGGGTTGCATTGTTTTTAAGTATTAGGATTATTTCATTTTTTGGAAAATGGAAATAAAAACAAAACATGCGGCGGACCTTATAATGATGCGGGCGGTGCCTGAGAACAGAGCCTTATAGATGGGGATTCCAATGTTAGACTGAGGAAAATCAACCACTGACACTCGGACCTTTACACATATTCCTTATAAAAGTTATAAAAGATGTCGGTTGCACTAACATACAACCTATAGTGTTGATAAATGTAATGATTCAAACAGCCATACTTTTTAGCATCCCATGGGACATTTTAGATTATCTGTTTATTCAGTTTGTAATCATATCTAGGAAACAATATTTTGTTGAGAATCAAAGCTAAAATACAGGTCCCAGCAACCTATGCTTGTAAGAGTGAGTGAGTGAGTATGGTTTTACGCCGCTTTTAGCAATACTCCAGCAATATCACGGCGGGGGACACCAGAAATGGGCTTCACACATTTTACCCATGTCGGGAATCGAACCCAGGTCTTCGGCGTGACGAGCGAACACTTTAACCACTAGGCTACCCGACCGCCCCTATGCTTGTAAGAGGCGACATGGATCAGATGGTCAGGCTGGTGACTTGGTCGACTGTGTGTCATGTATCCAGATTGTGTGTCATGTATCCAGATTGTGTGTCATGTATCCAGATTGTGTGTCATGTATCCAGATTGTGTGTCATGTATCCAGATTGTGTGTCATGTATCCAGATTGTGTGTCATGTATCCAGATTGTGTGTCATGTATCCAGATTGTGTGTCATGTATCCAGATTGTGTGTCATGTATCCAGATTGTGTGTCATGTATCCAGATTGTGTGTCATGTATCCAGATTGTGTGTCATGTATCCAGATTGTGTCATGTATCCAGATTGTGTGTCATGTATCCAGATTGTGTGTCATGTATCCAGATTGTGTGTCATGTATCCAGATTGTGTGTCATGTATCCAGATTGTGTGTCATGTATCCAGATTGTGTGTCATGTATCCAGATTGTGTGTCATGTATCCAAATTGTGTGGACTGAAGCAGAATGCCGTCATATAGCTGGAATATTGTTTAGTGTAGTGTTAAACAACAAACAAAGAAAGAAATCGTAAATCCTTTTGTACCTGTTTGTTGGAAGTTGAAACTGGTGCCGGTTTTATTTTGCGGATCTCTTTATCTAGCCATGTTATAGCTCCTGGAAGGGAAGAGAGCCGATCATTAAACACATCCTGAGAGAGTGAGTGAGTGAGTATGGTTTTACGCCGCTTTTGGAAATATTCCAGCAATTTCATGGCGGGGGACACCAGAAATGTGCTTCACACATTGTACCCATGTTGGGAATCGAACCCGGGTCTTCGGCAAGACAAACGCGTTAACCACTAGGCTACCCGACCCCCCCCCCCCCCCTCCTGAGAGAGACCTGCACCAGTCATAATGATTATGATCATGGTATGTATGATGTTCCGGAGTTTCTTAGAATTGAGAGAGAATTCCAGTGAAAAGATATAAAACTAAAAGGATCTTATATTGAAAGATAAGTAATATTATCATGATGCACAGTATTGTCTAATGTGGCAGATGCATGTTTCCAATGCCACATTAATTCATTTAGATTGAGCTTGGTGAATCACCTTGCAACTACAACATGTACAATAGAATGTCCACAAAAAGAGATCTTCTTTGCTTAGAAAAATCTTCAATCAGAAAATATTGCAAATTATCATCTGCTGGTCAACAAAAGTAGCATGATTGCCAACAGACAATTCAGGTTGCAACTTTGAGGCTAGGCTGTCATACAGACCCTGATGTATCCAATACAGCCCATGCAAGTCTATAATGTTTGGCAAGTCTAGATTACAGCAGTATCTGAATATGAAGAAAGTCTCTGGGCTCCTTTTTACTATATTTTATAAATATAATTTAACCATTGTCTTTTCTGTAAAGTATGTTCATTTCAGAGACTAGATGTCAGTCTACTTCAAGGCCTGTTACCATGGTTACCTACCATTTAGGGACACAATTTTGATACCCATTTTCTTTGCCGTGTCTGCAACGCTGGTTTGCTGTGCAAGAAATGAAAACAATTATCACAGTGAAAAACATCAACTGGAGTATCAAAGGCTCAGAAACTCATATTTGTGGGATGATCTAACATTGCTGGGATGCTATTAACACTAATCAGCTCCAGTGGGCTGAAGATTCAGATACAGTTAGTATCATGTTGATCATGGGCAAAGACACATTGTTAACCATGTTTACTTACCATATTCACCACGTTAAGGTGAGGTGAAGTGAAATGGGGTTAAACGTTGCGTCCAAGATTATTGCAATAATATAGCGACGTGCATGTATGTGTGTGTGTTTGTGTGGCTGCTTGTACTAGTCCGGACTGATGCCGATTTATAGTGCTAGCACACTGAGATACCATGCCGCAGTTTAACATGAATACCCCACTCAGACACAGTATACTGACTCCGAGCCGACCAGTCCTTGTTTTAGCCCCTTAATGCCGAGCGCCAGACAGGGTAACAACAAGTACCATCTTTTAACGTCTTTTGGTATGACGCGGCTGGGGATCGAACCCCGGACCTTCCGCTCTCCGGGCGGACGCTCTACCACTAGACCACGGAGGCGGTCTCCGCCACGTTAAGGGCCCTGTCTGATAGGCGCCCCGACCAACTTCTAGACTAACATGTAAGTAATCCTGAAGATTCCACCTTATCAGCATGGTCAGAAAAATTGGAATACAGAAACTTCAAAGATTTTCGGACAAAACAAAACTTCTGAAAATATTCGCAAATGTGGCCCCTGTTTCAAACATGTAACAAATCTAACATGATCTAATATTTTCTTAATACATACTGCTTCCAGGTTTTAACAGTGACATATGTAATGCAAGATTTGGAAAAAATCAAAACAACTTACTGAGCTTTTGTTCTTTGCAATCTGAAGAATGGCCTTTCCCCGTGTCACCTGTAAATAAGGAGAGAAATACTGTCAATCCTTGAACAAACGCTGAGGTAACTGATGCACTAAACGAAATAAATGTCTGTCTTGAACATGTTGAATAACAGTGAACTCCAAACTATCAATCTGTTACCTTAGGATTTTTGTTTTTTGTTTAACGCTGCACTCAGCAATATTCCAGCTTTATGACGGCTGTCTGTAAATAATCAAGTCGGGACCAGACAATCCAGTGATTGACCTCATGAACAACGATCCACGCAACTGGGATATGATGACATGCATCAACCAAGTCAGCAAGCCTGACCACCCAATCCTGTTAGTCGCCTCTTACGACAAGCATAGTCGCCTTTCATGGCAAGCACGGGTTGCTGAAGACCTATTCTACCCCGGATCTTCACCGGTTGTTTCATGTGGATGCTCGAATTAAACCTAAGATTCCTGGGGTCCATGTCAAAAACCTAACCCTCAAAGCTAAAGAATTATGGAAAGCTTGAAGTTATGCATGTCTCAGATGAAGCGTTAGAAATTGGCACTAGTCCTATTGTCCTCGCCAAACTGCCCAATGGTTAAGGTATCATAAGGACCAGTAGAAATTTGCACTTTTTAAGGGATTTGCTATATGTTGTCATTAAAAGTACTAGTGGACTAAAACTATTAGTTTCTATCGCTGAGATGTCTTCCACTTTGGTGAAACCTACGAACTCGGGTATGGTGTTGATAAACCTAGAAGCATAATCAGGGTGAACCGGGATTTGAACCTATGATCATAGGACTCTGGCATGCCCAAGGGACCTAACTCGGGTCCCCCAAGAATTAGGGAGCCCCTGGATTCGAATGCATTCAAATAAGACCTAAAGGGCTCCAGAACCCCAATTAAATTTGCACACTAGTTGATCTAGCAAGATCTAGTGACCCTTCAAATAGCTTGTTGTAATAAAGAAGTTGTTCATCCCTACATCTTATCCTTACCTTCAAATAGAAATCAGGAAAATGTTGTGCTGAAGTCTTTTAGTTTCTGCCATAAGCAATGATCAGGTTATGACAAAGGCTGCTTGATTTTATGTTTACTTTTGAACACCACATTAATCATTTATATTGGGTAGTGATAATCTTCTTTGGGTATTCAATATATTTCTACTCTTTTGGGTTCAGTTTATTGGCTTTTGTAAACCAAAGAGTAGACTTTTAAAAAATGATTTTACTGCTATGCTGTTTCAGGTAACGTTTAATTAGCAGCCCCAAGTGAGTCACATGTGTTATGACCCGTGAACATCCGGGGTAGAATAGGTCTTCATTACCATGCTTGCCGTAAGAGGCGACAAGTGGGATCGGGTGGTCAGGCTTGCTGACTTGGTTGATGCATGTCATCGATCATAATTGCGTGGGTTGATGGTCATGATGTCAATCACTGAATTATTTACAGACCGCAGTCATATACAGTCAACTACGGTTATAACGAACTCGCTTATAACGAACTGACGGATATAACGAACTTACTTTTTGGTCCCGACTATTTGCTGTAGTTACGCTGTATATATGCTTATAACGAACTACGGTTATAACGAACTAAAAGTAGAAGTCCCTTTGAGTTCGTTATAACCGAGGTTTACTGTAGCTGGAATATTGATGAGTGCGGCGTTAAACAACAAACAAACAAATCACATGTCAAATAACAACATAACAGTGTTACATGTCTAAGTTACAATAAGCGGAAAGTTGAACATCTTTCCATTATTCACTGCAGTAGAGTCCACGTACACAAGACGCTTCCAGTCAGTCAGTAAGAAAAGATATGAGGACATAACTGCACGCAAGCTGAAAAAGCTACCTTGCATAATTACGGACAGTGTTGTTATATGACAAATCAAATCAAATATGTTCATGCATACTTGTACTCACAAACAAATTAATTGGATTATGGTCATTTAGTTTTCATATTTTAGGCAATTACACAGCTTATTGCTTATCTGGGCCCACTTGCACAAAGCAATCTTAGCGCTAAGATGATCTTAACTCCCATACTTTAACAGAGGCTTACAATAGTCGCAGTTAAGATCGATTTGTGCATGTGGGCCCTGGAGCTCTGTTTTGGGTAAAGAATATTTCAAGAATAAATAATTACCATGTTTGACGTAATAAGTGCCCCGCTCTTATAAGTGTCCATGGTGATACTTGCTAATATATTGGCTAGTGAACTATCCCAATTAGCACCTGTTCTGATTGATCAATGTAAACAAGACTTATTTATTTGTGTATAACACGCACTCGTGTGTTATATGAACCCTTAATTATTGGCAAACGAATTCTGGAAAAATATATCTGTAGTGTATAATACACACAGACTTTTCTTTTGTATCATTTCAGGTACACAAACGTAGACATTTACGATCTTTCAACTCTGTTTTTCTTTCACCAAAATTATATTCTAATAAGAGCCCCCTATTTCTAATTTTGAGAACGCCCTGGGCACTTATTACGTCGAATACGGTAACGTGAATTGGCCTCACAGTTTCCTTCTTCGCTTCAATAGCAGTCGGTGATGGAGACTGCCCCATGCTGAAGGGACTAGGCGTGGACTGGAAGGCAGGGCTGTCCGGCCGGTCTTGACCCTTCTCCCCTTTCTTCTGACCACTGGCTGGAGCATTGCTGGATATGACGTAGTTCACATCTTTGATGAGAAACTTCTCAATAGTCTGAAGTGGATGAACATCGACATGAAAGGATATTAAACACTGGGAGTTGGAATCAGTGAGTGAGTGAGTGAGTACGTTTTACGCCGCTTTTAGCAATATTCCAGCAATATCAGGGCAGAGGACACCAGAAATGGGCTTCGGTGTGGCGAGCGAACGCTTTAACCACTAGGCTACCCCACCGCCCCGAGAGTTGGAATCATGATCTTGTCATATGTGGCCTCTGTTGACAATAAGATCATATAACTTATAAACAGGACACTCATTCAGTGTCTGCTCTGGCTTAAATTTTCTTGGGGTCACTTGGACCCCTTCATCATAAAATTAGGGGTCCCAAACAAAAATGGAGGGGTCTAATTTATAGCATTATAACATAACATTAACAACAGAACACAGTGGTTGTGAAAAATAAGAAATCTTTTCGCAACTGCAAAATATCAACAAACAGGCAAAGTGAGAGAAAGGTTCACATCAGGGCACATCCTGCTCTCATAACCAAGAGGTTTACATTAAGGACAAACAATTTCTTAAAAGGGACATTTGATATTAATGAATATTATAACACAAAATTATCCATGTTAATATCTAACTTCGTATATGAAAAGGCAGTACACGGGTCAGCCATTGGTAAGGGGTCATTGTGACAGACATTTGTGAATGTTTTTACCAAGATCTACCAATGATTTGAAGTTTTGGATTCAGTTAAGTTCAATGGCTGTTCTGATGCTACTGTACTGAGTATTGAGTTCATGTTGTAACTATGACAATGATCAATGAGTCATAAAATATAATTGGCATATCAAACGTTTTTTTAGTAAGAGCATGTTCAGGATCCAGCATTTCCTTGATAAATCTAGTCAACATGTTTCAGGTGCTATAAATGTTTAAACATGTCAGTTACACCAATAACGGTCCTGGCAAAATGTGTTTTGCAATTCTAAATATGACTCACAAGATATTGAATTATTATCAGCTTGATAAGTCTGTTGTAGAATAACTAAATATTCAGAGTCCGCTAAATAAAAACAATGCTTACATCATTGTACATTCAAGTGTTCGCATTCATTCTTTATCATATACAGTATCGCGGTATTGATAAATCTCGTAATCCACACAACCTGTCGACTGTTTACTTATGCAAATCTAAGCACGATATATTTCATCGCATGATCGAATACAGGACTCGTTGCGGTATGTCACGGCTACTTGTACACACGTTAACTTTTTTTATGACAGTTCCTGGGATGTTTTTGAAGTGGAATTACCCCTTCCTCCATTCAAAATTGATTAGAAAAAGAACCCATTTGTTCAAACGAAGTCCCTTGACCAAACCTCGGTCGTATGCAAAATTCAAAACAGGAAGTGATATACCATATAATCCACACAGCCTTACTTACTGCGGTAAGATTCACCAATGACAGGTACTTTGTTTACCGAACTCGGTAAAGAAAATCAGCATCAATCAATCCAATGAACAACAAACATTTTGTGAATCACATATTTAATAAGTTTGTAAGCGTGCCCCACTACGATCCATTATAAATTAACTACCGCGATAACATAGCGTATCATCCTACACGGTCGCTCGATTTCGCAGGTCACTGTTACCACGTTCTGAAGTATACCCTGGCTATTTTTAGTTTGACACAAGGTCAGGATATTTTCGACCAATCAGCAAGCTAAATTAATTACGACTATATCCGACTTGCTTAATATGTGGCACCTGATTGGCTGAAGCAAAGCTACGGACCATACCGAAAATTAATACATGCAAAACCGACAATAGATATAGGTCAAGAAACCGGTTTGGGTATTTGTCATAAAAAGGGAGAGAATAATGAAACTGGTTTGGTTTAGCAAACGGAAGTGTTTATCAACATGCTTCGCTGTCTTGTTTGGCAACAAATACCTTTACGCAAAGACGTACGTCTTTGATTTACGATAACAGTGTCAATTCAATATGAAATAAATATAGCCCCAGTCACTGCGTCCACGAGACCCACACATGTTACGCAGGTGCGTTCAAACTTATTTTTGTGCGTCCAAGACGCAAAAACGCGCTCTTCAGCCAACACTGCTCATTAATACCAAGTATGTAATACCATTGTAATTTAGCTAGAGACAAATATCATAAGGCCATTTTCATCATGTCAAGAAATATTCACAGGACATGGTTGACTAGGAATTTTCTGACATCGGCCTTTTATGTAAAAAATTCAAATATTCCAGATTTATTCCCTGTATGGTCCAAATGTTAAAATGCCCCATTGTATTTGAAAAAGTGGCCTTTTTTCAAATTTAGGGGCTAAACGCACAAGGCCCCACCCTAGAATTATCCCTGAATGGACATTTCACTGTACCATCACCATAGTTGAAAAATATATTTAGGATGTTTTTAATGACAATCACATTACTTCAATGTCCAAGAAAACGATCCGATCAGAACCCCTGATACCATGTTAATATGATCATGATAATTGTGACAGGCTGTCACTTGGTTGATCCTGTGTCATTGTGCCCTGAAGAGGTGCTCACAATATCGATCACAGGATTGTCTGGTCCAAATTTGATTATTTACCATCTTGCCGAGGCAAGAGAGTTAAATGACTTTAAAAGTCCAATTTCCACCCTTGCCGAACTAGGCAGGAATTCCTGTGCTCGATCGTAGTGCCACCAGTGGCCGTTATGAGTTATGTCCCTTCTAAGCCTCTCCTATGGACCAATCAGATTCCACCTCACGTATCACTTGCATTTGCTTCAAATAAAACAGAGGCGCCCAGTCAAGACAATCTGATCGATAATCAAGTTCTATATTGTGATAAAATGGGTCTTACATCGCGAAATGCAACAAATCACGTGAGCACCTTGAAAAGATTTGGAACTTATCTGTTGACAACTAGTTGGCGGTGCACATGCTTTACAAATCTTGCAATCAACCGAAATCTGCACAACAGTTAAGAACCGGATTTCGATTTCGTTGCACAATTTTGATTGGACTATGCATAGACTCGTTAGTCCAGCCAAAATGTAACTCCATAATACCAGCCTAGTTCTGCAAGGGTGGAAACTGGACTCTTTTAGTCAGTTAACTCTCTTGCCTCGGGAAGATGATTATTTACAGGCTGCCATCATATGTGAGGTGAGTGAGTGAGTATGGTTTTACACTGCCTTTAGCAATATTCCAGCAATATCACGGCGGGGGACACCAGAAATGGGCTTCACACATTGTACCCATGTCGGAAATCGAACCCGGGTCTTCGGTGTGACGAGTGAATGCTTTAACCACTAGGCTACCCGACCGCCCCCAATCATATGTAGCTAAATTATTTCTGAGTGTGACCTTAAACAAACTGACTACATCTGCTGAAGTATGTATGAAGACAGGAAGTTAGTTGGCTCACCCCTCCAAGCTGCTTAAGTTTCTCCTCAAGACTCCTGGATTGGCGAACATCTTTCACATCAAGATACACTATTTTCCCTGAAAGTGGCAAGTTACTTGTCTTCTTATCAAACTCCAGTTTCCGCTTCCCTTTGTTGGAACTATAACTTGTACTAGCTGTGGAAACAAAATGCTGACATTAAAATCACAGTTGCAAAAGCAGTGCTGTAACGTAAGCATAAAAATCAAGGTCGATTTGTCAATTGTAAATTAAAAGATGAAGGGGGTCCCTGGATTCAAATAGCACAGACGACCACAGACTGCTACTTTTGAATACAGCATGAGCATGACACAAAAAATATCTGTCCAACTAAAAGAGACCTTGAATGGGTATTGTAAAGAACGTAGCGCTTGCCTTTTATGAATTTGCTTTATAAAACAGTCAAACACTGTTGTGTCGAAGTTGAAGGGACATACGTAAACACTTCGAGTTATTTATTTGAAGTTTGACACAGCCGAGAATGATAACTAAAGAAAGAATATGCAGGGATCAAGTTTTTACTTCGAGACATCAGTTTCACACTACTGTGTTTGACTGTAGTTAAAATGAGTTAAATTATCAGTTTGACGCACATCGATATGTATCTCAATTCTCATGACACATAGATAGGCTTATAATAATATTAAAATAAACATGAAGTTTGGGTCATTTTGAGTTTCATAGTTGCCATGGATACAGATAATGGAAAAATATATTATAATAATTACGTTTATGCTTGTCACCATCTTTTTGCTTCATTCTTCAAGTGCGCATTCGTTTCGTTGTTTTCTTTTGAATCATCTCATTCATAAGGCCTACATTTGACACACACCCCCTGGTCCTGTTTATCCTTCCACGAGGCTAGTAACACTTGTAATCCTCATAATGTCAGTCACAGTAGTTATATATCCGGGTACTGGTCAATACAAAATCCATTTTGATAATCAGATCTTCCGTGGTATTGATATTCCTATAAATATATAACACATAAGGCTCAGTGATGCTGAACTGGCCGTCAGTGTGATGAAATGTCTGGAGTTCCCTCGAATATTATGCAGACGTCGTTTTAGAAAACAATCAGCTGTTCATGTTGATTACCGAAGGAAATCATTGTTGTAACCGCCAAAACATGGTTAAACAAATAGGTAGATACTAAACTATTATCATGGTGGATTTGGTTCACAGCGTGATTTGATGAACTGAGTAAATCCCAAAGTTGAGCCAAGTTTGTGTTCCCGCTTTCCGGCTACAATGTCCGCAGTCAAGTTTTTCGACGAGTTGATTGGGTAAAAATTAGGTTGAGTCGAAATTGCCAACTCCTAAACGAAATAGGTTGACGCTTCATATGGATGAAGGGTATGTCTTTTTAAGCATTGTTGGACCAGGACAAATGTATTTCTTGTCTGGCGATTTTGCTGTGCCAGAATATCAAGACACAGGAAGCAAAGATACTAGTTTCAAAATAAGTAAGTTTGTAACCTTGTAAGGGGCCTGGTCATTAGGGCCCTGGTCGGGGGTGGGTGGGGTGAGAGTGAGAGGGGTGGGGTGGGTTGGGATGGTGGTGGGGGCGGGAAGGATTTTATCATAAAACATATGGCAGCTACTACTGCCTGAACCAGGTTCGCTTAATTACAGGCCGCATTCCAAGCTGGAACATTGGTGAGCACGGCGTTAAAGACGCAAGTTAAAGAAAAAATGGCAGGAGAAAATTTGGAGAAAATTGAGTGAGTGAGTATGGTTTTACGCCGCTTTAAGCAATATTCCAGCAATATCACCGCGGGGGACACCAGATATGGGCTTCACACATTGTACCTATGTTGGGAATCGAACCCGGGTCTTCGGCGTGACGAGCTAACGCTTTAACCACTAGGCTACCCGACCGCCCCTGGAGACAATAGTCACATGTTTTGAAGAAAATATGGACCCAGATTTTGGAGAAAACAAAACTAACACAAATCCGTATAGTGATTGATATCTAATCTGGACTCATAACTATGTCACACGGTCTTCCAAACTGTCCAACTTTAATCCGTCTCAACTTAGAGGCAATTTATTCTTCAATATTATTCCAAACAAGCCGCGTATGATGCATAAACAAAGTAATTAATTATGCTAATTAATTCCAGTCCTGTTAAGTAATCAGGGCATTTACTTGTCATAATGAAACTGGTTATACATCTTTAAGTTATCGTGGACAATATCACAAAAATAGCATTTTCACAACATGTATATTAAGAAAACGCCGGCATATCTATTTTGTACGGGAGAGGTCTATATAGGCTTTCACACTTGTAATACCCCATTTCTTTTTTAAATGAATACCGTTAAAACCACAATCATCAATAACCCTAACTTCTCCTGAATTATTGTTTTTGTAAACACCAAACCAATTTGGATCCATCACCAATCCTCACTTCTCCAGTATGTGACCCGTGAAGATTCGAGGTAGAATAGGTCTTAAGCAACACATGCTTGTCGTAAGAGGCGACTAACGGGATCGGGTGGTCAGGCTCGCTGACTTGGTTGATGCATGTCATCGATCCCAATTGCGTCGATCAATGCCCATGATGTCAATCACTGCGGTACGGTATCTCAGTGAGCTGGCACTATAAATCGCACACGCACACACACACGCACGCACGCACGCACACACGCACACACACGTCGCTATTTAAGTGCAATAATCTTAGACGCGACGTCAAACCTCATTTCACCTCACCTGGCCGACCGATCAGGCTTTTGAAGTGACAATTGTTAAAACTACTAATTGTAAAACAAACAAAATAATAATTGATATTGTTAAATTGGAGGCAAGTGTTTCATGTAACAATTGTATGCATAGATAACCAAAATTTATTTGCATTCATTTTCTCCAAAACATGTCACCATTTTCTCATTTTGGGGTCATTATCTCCAAATTGTCCGGGGCTATTTTTGCAAGGGGCCATTTCTCCTGCTCCCAAACAAACTATATATACTACCACTGGCACTCTTTCTATTATTGCTACTACTGTTGTTGTTGCTTCCTCTTCTTTATTTCAATATTACTGCTAGTGTGACTACTTCTAGTTTCAATAGTCCTACTGCTCCTGTCATTTTACAAACGCTACTTTTACTTTTCCTACTGCAACTACTACCACTACTACGAGTAAAAACAGAACGCCGAATCCATTAATATAATTCATTACAATTTACTCCAAAAATAATTCCAGAGCAGAATGCAATTTGAATATTTAACTTCGGGAAACTGTGTACATTAATATGTTTGCTCAGTTCGTTTCAATTTCTATGTGTATGTTTTATACTAACTCTGCTGTTGTCAACTTCCGGTTCAACACGATGAAATAAAATGGCGGCGCCCATGTACAACGTGTTTGTGGGAGCTGAAACAGGTTTATTGAAAGGCATCACCTTGAAAAAGGCACAGTGGAACAACCTGAATGCTCTTGCAAGTGCTGATAAAGAGAAAGAAATATGCGCCATATGTTGGGATAATACAGACGAGTCGAAAGTATGTTTTGGTTTGAAAAACAGACAGGTGCTTGTTTATGATGTTGAAAATCAATCACTTGAAGACGAAATTCACACGTTGGACGGAGGCAGTGGGAAATTTCGTGCTATAGCAAAAGTTGAAGGCAACTATTTGACAGCCGTGGAATCGGGTCTAGTCAAACTCTGGGACGATGTCGACAAGAAAACCATCGAAATTGAAGCAGGGAAAGATTTGTTTTGCATGGAGCAAAAGCCACAAACTCCCAATATCATCGCTACTGGGGGAAAAGAAAATGAACTAAAACTGTGGGATCTTCAGAAACATTCCGAACCAATATTCAAAGCAAAGAATGTGAAAAATGACTGGTTAAATCTGAGAGTTCCAGTTTGGGTAATGGGTGTACAGTTCCTTCCAGGAAGCGATAAGATTGTCACCTCAACAGGTCATCACCAGGTCAGAGTGTATGACCCACAGAGTTCACAGCGTAGACCTGTCCTTGACATTGAAGTGGACGAATATCCTCTTACAGCAATGTCATTGCGCCATGATCGAGACAATCAAGTCCTCGTTGGTAACACACAGGGAAAGATGGCATTGGTTGATTTGAGGAATGGGCAAGTCGTGCAAGTTTATAAAGGTTTTGCTGGAGGTATACGAGATATCAAATGTCATCCCACGAAACCCCTTGTTGCATCTTGTGGTTTGGATAGGCATTTACGTATACATGACATCGATTCTAGGGAAATGGTCAACAAATTGTATCTGAAGTCAAGGCTCAACTGTCTCCTCTTTTCATCAAGAGACGGAGAAAATGTCATGGAAAATAAGAGTCAGGTTCATGAAGAAGTGGATGTAGAGTCAGGTATTGAATCAGAAGAAGATGAGGATGTTTGGGAGAATCTTGAACTTGTGAAAACCAGGACTCTGAAAAAGAATGAGAAAGAAATTGTTGTCAAAGAAGATAAAGTTGATAAAAAGAAGAAAAAGAGAAAGAAATTGGATAAACAGAAAGAGGTTCCCACAACCAAGAAGAAACGTAAATGAAGCAGAAAGACGTTAACCATGCCGTGAACTAAAAACACATTTGGGTGTCAAACATTTAAAGACTATAATAGCATACAGAAACATGTCAACATGAAACGAAAATTGTCACCTAGATTAACAATGGTGCCAGTAGGGTTTTTTCCATCATGTTTTGGTTTGGTTTGTTGTTTTAAGCTGCGCTCAGCAATATTCCAGCTATATGACGGCAGTCTGTAAATAATCGAGTCTGGACCAGACAATCCAGTGATTTACATCATGAACATCGATCCACGCAACTGGGATCGATGACATGCATCAACCAAGTCAGTGAGCCTGACCACCCGATCCTGTTAGTCGCCTTTTATGACAAGCATAGTCGCCGTTTACGACCAGCATGGGTTGCTGAAGATTCTACCCCGGATCTTCACGGTCTTTTTCATCATGTTCACAGAACATCTGAGCATCAAATTGCTATATACAAAACGAAATAAATGTATGCTTAGTGTAGCCTCAGTTATGTTCTGTTTCAATCAATCTCTCTTATTTTGACTTAGGTGCTAAGGTTTCCGATTAAATTATATGAAAAAGAATATAATTATTACACAAACATGTCAAAGGTCTTTAAACAATCTTGCATAGCTGCTTTTTATAAGTGAATCATTTTATGACATCGAAAGACATTTTTGACTGATCAGATGATCATCTGTGGCAATGTTGCCATGGTTACTGAATCAAATATAGCTCTTCTCTTCTACTTGTAATTGGGGCGGTCAGGTAGCCTAGTGGTTTAAAGCGTTCGCTCGTCACACCGAAGACCCGGGTTCGATTCCCGACATGGGTACAATGTGTGAAGCCCATTTCTGGTGTCCCCCGCCGTGATATTGCTGGAATATTGCTAAAAGCAGTGTAAAACCATACTCACTCACTCACTCTACTTGTAATTTTTTTTATGAAGTAACCATGGTAACTGCAGTATGTGGGACCCGTGTATTCACTACCAGTATGAGGTGATGGATACCGGCAGGGCCTAGCCCTGGGATGGAGTAAATTTTTTGTTTTGATTGGTTTCCTCCACTAGAATGTGTGGGATTATGGGGAAAATATCGACCTACTTCGGGCAACCAAGTGCTGCTCAATACTTTCATGTTGCATGTTTTGATGTATGAGTGACCATTGACGTATGGAAATATAACAATAAAACATCGTGGGTCAGTCTTGTGACTTGACTTCAGTTGATTCTCTTGTATCGTCGAGGGAGAAATATATTGTTATTGACAATGTTGAGAGCATCCTAGCAATACAGTTACTATGTATAGATTGAATATTTTGTGAAAAACAATGAATAAATACACATAAGGAATCATTGATGAGAATTTTCTTGTTTCTTCATGTGAGACTATCATATACTCATGAATATCATACCCCAATGCCTCGATTACAGGTCTCACTCATACCCAAAGATATGGCATTGAGATAACCTCCCTTTGCCTGTGAGGTGGAGGTGGGTCTCACTGTCTACTGGTACCTCAAATTGGTGTGTTGAAAACAAAGGCTAACTGTCTCAGATGTGACATGCCTGGTTATGTCAGGAGTTTGTGTCACTTTCTGCACTTTGCAGGCGACATGGATGAAGATTTAATATTGCTGATGACAGATTTTAGATGTAATATTGCTGATCACAGGGTTTAGATGTAATATTGCTGATCACATGGTTTAGATGATCTCATGGTTTAGATGTAATATTGCTGATCACATGGTTTAGATGTAATATTGCTGATCGCAGGGTTTAGATGTAATATTGCTGATCACAGGGTTTAGATGTAATACTGCTGACCACAGGGTTTAGATGTGATATTGCTGACCACATGGTTTAGATGTAATATTGCTGACCACAGGGTTTAGATGTAATATTGCTTTTCATAGGGTTTAGATGTAATATTGCTGATCACATGGTTTAGATGTCATATTGCTGACCACAGGGTTTAGGTATAATATTGCTGACCACATGGTTTAGATGTAATATTGCTGATCGCAAGGTTTAGATGTACATGATGTAATATTGCTGATCACATAGTTTAGATGTAATATTGCTGACCACAGGGTTTAGGTATAATATTGCTGACCACATGGTTTAGATGTAATATTGCTGATCGCAGGGTTTAGATTTAATATTGCTGATCACAAGGTTTAGATGTACATGATGTATTATTGCTGATCGCAAGGTTTAGATGTAATATTGCTGATCGCAGGGTTCAGTTGTAATATTGCTGATCACATGGTTTAGATGTAATATTGCTGATCGCAGGGTTCAGATGTAATATTGCTGATCACAAGGTTTAGATGTACATGATGTATTATTGCTGATCGCAAGGTTTAGATGTAATATTGCTGATCGCAGGGTTCAGTTGTAATATTGCTGATCACATGGTTTAGATGTAATATTGCTGATCGCAGGGTTCAGTTGTAATATTGCTGATCACATGGTTTAGATGTAATATTGCTGATCGCAGGGTTCAGATGTAATATTGCTGATCACAAGGTTTAGATGTAATACTGCTGACCACAGGGTTTAGATGTGATATTGCTGACCACATGGTTTAGATGTAATATTGCTGACCACAGGGTTTAGATGTAATATTGCTTTTCACAGGGTTTAGATGTAATATTGCTGATCACATGGTTTAGATGTCATATTGCTGACCACAGGGTTTAGGTATAATATTGCTGACCACATGGTTTAGATGTAATATTGCTGATCGCAGGGTTCAGATGTAATATTGCTGATCACAAGGTTTAGATGTAATATTGCTGATCACAGGGTTTAGATGTAATATTGCTGATCACAGGGTTTAGATTTAATATTGCTGATCGCAGGGTTCAGTTGTAATATTGCTGATCACATGGTTTAGATGTAATATTGCTGATCGCAAGGTTCAGATGTAATATTGCTGATCACAAGGTTTAGATGTAATATTGCTGATCACATAGTTGAGATGTAATATTGCTGACCACAGGGTTTAGATGTCATATTGCTGATCACAAGGTTTAGATGTGATATCTCTGATCACATGGTTTAGATGTAATATTGCTGATCGCAGGGTTCAGATGTAATATTGCTGATCACAAGGTTTAGATGTAATATTGCTGATCACATGGTTTAGATGTGATATCTCTGATCACATGGTTTAGATGTAATATTGCTGATCGCAGGGTTCAGATGTAATATTGCTGATCACAAGGTTTAGATGTCATATTGCTGACCACAGGGTTTAGATGTCGTATTGCTGATCACATGGTTTAGATGTAATTTTGCTGATCGCAGGGTTCAGTTGTTATATTGCTGATCACCAGGTTTAGATGTAATATTGCTGATCATAGGGTTTAGATGTAATATTGCTGTTCATAGGGTTTAGATGTAATATTGCTGATCGCAGGGTTCAGATGTAATGATGCTGATCACAAGGTTTAGATGAAATATTGCTGATCGCAAGATTTAGATGTAATATTGCTGATCACAGGGTTTAGATGTAATATGGCTGATCACATAGTTTAGATGTAATATTACTGATCACCTAGTTTAGATGTAATATTGCTGATCACATGGTTTAGATGTGATATTGCTGACCACAGGGTTTAGATGTAATATTGCTTATCACAGGGTTTAGCTGTCATATTGCTGATCACATGGTTTAGATGTCATATTGCTGATCACAAGGTTTAGATGTACATGATGTAATATTGCTGATCACATAGTTTAGATGTAATATTGCTGACCACATGGTTTAGATGTAATATTGCTGATCGCAGGGTTCAGATGTAATATTGCTGATCACAAGGTTTGGATGTACATGATGTATTATTGCTGATCGCAAGGTTTAGATGTAATATTGCTGATCGCAGGGTTCAGTTGTAATATTGCTGATCACATGGTTTAGATGTAATATTGCTGATCGCAGGGTTCAGATGTAATATTGCTGATCACAAGGTTTAGATGTACATGATGTATTATTGCTGATCGCAAGGTTTAGATGTAATATTGCTGATCGCAGGGTTCAGTTGTAATATTGCTGATCACATGGTTTAGATGTAATATTGCTGATCACAGGGTTCAGTTGTAATATTGCTGATCACATGGTTTAGATGTAATATTGCTGATCACAGGGTTTAGATGTACCTGATGTAATATTGCTGATCACATAGTTTAGATGTAATATTGCTGACCACAGGGTTTAGGTATAATATTGCTGACCACATGGTTTAGACGTAATATTGCTGATCGCAGGGTTCAGATGTAATATTGCTGATCACAAGGTTTAGATGTACATGATGTATTATTGCTGATCGCAAGGTTTAGATGTAATATTGCTGATCGCAGGGTTCAGTTTTAATATTGCTGACCACATGGTTTAGATGTAATATTGCTGATCGCAAGGTTCAGATGTAATATTGCTGATCACAAGGTTTAGATGTAATATTGCTGATCACATAGTTTAGATGTAATATTGCTGACCACAGGGTTTAGATGTCATATTGCTGATCACAAGGTTTAGATGTGATATCTCTGATCACATGGTTTAGATGTAATATTGCTGATCGCAGGGTTCAGATGTAATATTGCTGATCACAAGGTTTAGATGTCATATTGCTGACCACAGGGTTTAGATGTCGTATTGCTGATCACATGGTTTAGATGTAATTTTGCTGATCGCAGTGTTCAGTTGTTATATTGCTGATCACCAGGTTTAGATGTAATATTGTTGATCGCAAGGTTTAGATGTAACATGGCTGAACACAGGGTTTAGATGTAATATTGCTGTTCATAGGGTTTAGATGTAATATTGCTTATCGCAGGGTTCAGATGTAATGATGCTGATCACAAGGTTTAGATGTAATATTGCTGATCACAGGGTTTACATGTAATTTTGCTGACCACAGGGTTTAGATGTAATATTGCTGATCACATGGTTTAGATGTAATATTGCTGATCGCAAGGTTTAGATGTTATATTGCTGATCATAGGGTTTAGATGTAATATTGCTGACTACATGGGTTAGATGGGATATTGTTGATGTAAGGGTTTAGATGTGTATTACTGATGACAGGGATGAACTTATATTACACCACAAGCACAATAAAATGTGCATGTATGTTATTGTTCAGTGCATAGTTTACCAGAAAAGAAAATCACTTATTACTTTGGCATCACAGGAGTGTGAATGTGACCTATACCTAGAAGTACTAACGTGACATATTGTCACCAGATGAATGATGTCCTGTCGACGAGTGGCCATATACAC